ACACAGTCGGCCCACCTCCCTCTCCCTTCCCCGGCTCCCTCCCTTCTCAGCTCCTCTGTCTTCTCTCATTTCTTTGTTCTTTTTCTTCCTTCCTCTCTCGCCCTCCCTTTCTCTCTCCCCATCTCCGTGTCTGCCCCTCTTCCTCTTCCTGTGAGGCAGTTTGTGTTATTTCACCAGCAGTACAGAACAGCACCCCTGCTTCCCCACCCCCCGCCCACCCCGCAGCAGGAGGGGCCGGGCCCGCCCTCTGCACCAACAGTCCCCTTCTCCCGTCTTCAGTCTTCACAGCAAAGGGCTCGAGCCATCCAAAGAAACACTAAGCTCTCTGGGCCTGGCTTCCCAGGGAAGGTAAGCAGGGCCAGGGCTGAGTGCAGAGCGGCCCCTGGTCACCGGGCCCCTGGCGGAGGATGCCTCCCCCGGCAGGCGGCCCGGCCCCGGCTTCAGCTTGGCTCCCAGCAGGCAGCGCACACCTCAGCCCTGCTGAGCCGCCGCCCTTCCCTCCTTTTCACTGGTCTCGCAGGCCAGTGTCACTGATGGCCCCCCGCGCTGGCCGCTGGGGGACACGCGCCCAGCCTGGATAGAGGTGGGGTTCCCTCTGGGTGGGGGTCCCTACACCCCCACTGACGAGGAGCGAGCTTAAAGAGAGGCGGAGGGAGGTAGGGGAGATGGCGAGCCGGAGACCTGCTTCTGAGCCCAGGCCTGGGGCGGGTCCCCCATCAGCACCCCACTCTGTCTGCCTCTCTGCAGCAGCCACCGAGTTCTGCCTACAGGTGTCGGCACCGCGCTCCCCCAGGCAGCGCCAGGGCCTGGCCTCACAAGTGCCCCTCCTTTCTCTGGCCTCCAGGAGACACTGGCAGTGGCTCCAGCCCAGCTGAAGCTCACTCCCCACACACACTCCCTCCAGCCCACACACCACAAGCACTGAAATCACTTTACCTGCAGGTTCCACACCTCTCACCCTCCCCTCCCTGAGGCAGACGAGTGCCCAGAGGGGCCTGCAGGTGGACGGGCAGAGCTGTGCCCCTGTTCGCGAGGCTAGGCCAGATCCCTTGGTGGGCACGGGGTCCTGTGGACCCAGCCCAGCACCTGCTCACAGGGGAGGTACTGGGGATAAACTGATCCTTCTCGTTTGTGACACCCTCTGTCCCAACAACTCTGCTGCCCTCCCCTTTTCCTTGTATTTGGCCCAGCTGGTCACCTGGAACTCTCCCTGTACTGCCTCTGGTGACCAGGGACCTTGCTAGGCCCAGTCCCACTCGTGGCCCCGCCCCTCCCCCTCATCCCTATTGATAAGCACTCACCCCAGAGGAGGGGCAGAAGCACAGCTTGGAGCGCTACCGTCTGAGCAGAGGACAGAGAGCCTACCCAGGCTGCTTCTCCAGGGAGGAAACAGGTCTGGAGGGGTGAGGGGCTGGCTGGCATCTCTGAGAAAGGTGGCGGGACATGTGGGGTTAGAGCCCAGGCTTCCTGGGTCCTGTCTGGTCTTCCTTTCGGAGGGGCCTTTCCATGCCTGAGGATCACTCTCTACTGGCAAGATTCTCCCCTCCCCTCCCCCGCCATGCACCCCATCGTCATCCCCCTCCCCAGTTCTGGTACTGAGGATACAGCTCTTCTCAGTGTCTGAACAATCTCCAAAATTGAAATGTATATTTTTGCTAGGAGCCCCAGCTTCCTGTGTTTTTAATATAAATAGTGTATACAGACTGATGGAACTTTAAATAAATGGGAATTAAATATTTAAGAGTTGATTTAAGCTAACTCAGCTTACAGTGTTTTTCCTGGGGGCTGATGAGACCCCTCCCCCTCTTCCACATGCAGTGCACAGAGGGGGAGACTTGGTCAGGCAAATGAGACTGTGGGGTGCTGGCCCGGGTGGCGGGGTCATTTCTGGCTTGTGGGGCTGCCCGTCGTTCCCCCTCACCTCTTGCACTGCTCACCACTCCTCAGTCAGCAAGGTTTGTGGAGAACTGAGAAGATGCCATCCCACCCGGAGGGAGCACTTGGGGTGGGAGGGGGAGAAAGGATACACACCCTCTGAGAAGGGTGTGTGGAACCATGGCACAAACCAGGTTTGGGGGTGAGGGTGTCTGGGAGGGGCTAAGAAGGGCCTGGGAGGAGGCAAGTCCCCTTGGGCCTTGGGTGGTATGTGGGACTTGCACAGGTTTTGGGGGGTTTTTTGCCATGCCATGTGGGATCTTAGTTCCCCAACCGGGGATCGAACCCATTCCCCCTGGAGTGGAAGCACGGCATCTTAACCACTGGACCACCAGGGAAGTCCCTGGGACTTGCACAGTTTTACCCCACAAGACATCAGGGCTTTCCTCTCCTTAGCTGACACCCCAGTTTTTTCCTTTACTTACAGTGGTACCATCTCCACAGACAAATGAATCAAAAATTTAGACTAAAAAAGAAAGCAACCTTAAGAGAATTAGAAGATACTGTCTTTGTGATAATTCTGTAAAACTTCTGAAACTTAAAAAGGTTTATTATTAAAGGAAGAAATGGGGTCCCAGGCTGGTAATATGCCTGAGGAGCCTGGAAGAAGCAGACGCAAAACCCTTCTGGAGGACAGACACAGGCAGTACAGAACTCCCACAAAATTACAAACATGAAGAGACAGGCTGCATGAAAATAAATAGAATAATGAGTGAAATTAGAGCCCCAGGACATCAAAAAGTATAGCTATTGATTATCATATAAGAGACAAATAAGTTTTATATTATTTAAAAATATAAAGATATGAAAATCATACTAAAGAAACAGTTTACTTTTTAAGGAAAAAAAAAAGACAAACATTTTAAAAGAAATACCTGGAACTTCCAGAAAAAAAATGAGTTAAAAAACAGACACAGCCAAAGAGATCATTTTTGCCCCTCAGAAAAGATCTGTAGAAATTATCCCCAAAATAACATAGGAAAACCAAGATAGAAAATGTGGAAAGGAAGAATAACAATACAAATTCTCATATACTGCAGAAGAGAGTAGAAGTTGATAAAATCAACTTGAAAATTTGGCAAAATCTTGTAAAGTTAAAACGCACCTGTGGAAGCTGTGAGGCATCACCCAGGTTCCACCCCTCAGAACCGAGGCACTGAGGTCCGTGGCTGCTGGACTCACAGCTGAGTTCCTCTCAGGAAATTGCCTGCAGTGAAGGGGGCTGCCTTGCCCAGGATAAGCACACACCCTCCTCAGGGGCAGCCTATAGCCAACATGTGGGGACAAGCCAAGCCTCTTTGCCCCAATTTGAAACAACGTGAAGAATTGTCCAGCTCCAGAATTGGGGCTTCTGTCCTAGGTACATTGCAGTTTAATTTCTCTCTCTACCCAATCCTGCTTCCTACAATTTCTTACAGGTGTTGTTCTCAGGAGCACTCCCCAGTGAGTGTCCTGCAAGTAAACCTCTAAATCTATTTCCTGGAGAAGGCAGCCTGACATAGTACCCTAGAGTGAAAGCCACCAAACTGCACTAAGACTCATACACATGTTCTTTACAGCAAGAGCAAAAACTTAGAAACAATAAAAATGTCCATCAACAGGAAAATGGATAAATTTGATATATTTATACAATGTTTAAGAAAAAAAAATTAGAAGAGTGGGGGAGGGAAAAAACAATGTAGAAGAAACACATGGGGAAAATTATATATAATCTTGAAGTGGATAGACCTTTCAAAAATCTCTTGTACACACAGAAGTTTCTAAGTTTCATGCAGTATACAAAAAACTTAAGAGTCTATAAAATAGATAAAAGATCTTACTACATCACACTAAAAAAATTTCTTCCAGTGGGGGGAACACAAAAATATTTCAATCAACCATGTTAAAAAAATGTGTGACATAATAAGACAAAGGCTAATTTCCTTAATATGTAAAGAGCACCTACCAATCAATGAGTAAAATGTCAACAACCCAAATGGGCAAAGGATATGAACAGGAAAAGAAATGCCTCTAAAACATGGAGAGATGCTTAATCTCATAGTAAGAGAAATGTAAATTAAAACTACAATGAGGGGGGAATTCCCTGGTGGCTCAGTGGTTAATAATCTGCCTGCCAATGCAGGGGACACAGGTTCGAGCTCTGGTCCGGGAAGATCCCACCTGCTGCAGAGCAACGAAACCCGTGCGCCACAACTACTGAGCCTGTGCTCCAGGGCCCACGAGCTACAACTGCCACAACTACTGAGCCCCAGTGCTGCAACTACTGAAGCCCGCGCAGCTAAAGCCCGTGCTCTGCAACAAGAGAAGCCACTGCAATAAGAAGCCCGTGCACCGCAATGAAGAGTGGCCCCCGCTCGCCGCAATTAGAGAAAGCCCACGCACAGCAATGAAGACCCAACGCAGCCAAACAAAAACAAACCTACAAGGGACTTCCTGACAGTCCAGTGATTAAGACTCCGTGCTTCCACTGCAGGGGGTGCGGGTTTGATCCCTGGTCGGGGAATTAAGATCTCACATGCCACAGCCAAAAAAATTAAATAAAACTACAATGAGATACTGTTGTTTTACATAACAAATTAACAAATACTAACAAGTTTGATTATATTGTGTTGGCAAGGGTGTGCAGACACAGGCACTCTCATACTGTTGGTGGGAGTATAATCTGGCACAGCCACCACAGAGGGCTGATTGGCAGCACCTATAAAAAAATTTTTTTAATAATTTTGATCCAGGGCTTCCCTGGTGGCGCAGTGGTTAAGAATCCACCTGCCAATGCAGGGGACACAGGTTCGAGCCCTGGTCAGGGAAGATCCCACATGCTGCGGAGCAACTAAGCCCATGTGCCACAACTACTGAGCCTGCGCTCCAGAGCCCACGAGCCACAAGTGCTGAGCCCCTGTGCCACAACTACTGAAGCCCGCACACCTAGAGCCCAAGCTCTGCAACGAGAAGCCACCGCAATGAGAAGCCCATGCACCGCAACAAAGAGTAGCCCCTGCTCACTGCAACTAGAGACAGCCCACGTGTAGCAACAAAGACCCAACACAGCCAAAAATAAAATAAATAAATTTTAAAAATAAATAAAAAATAATTTTGATCCAGCAAAAGTTAAGGAAATAACAAAGATGTCCAAGACAATTCGTTTCCTAAACTAGTGTCTCAATTTACTGATAAATATAGGAAGTTGATTAAATTCAATTTAAAAATCTCTCCTTTAACTTTTAAGTGAATTCCTCTTATTTTGTCTTTTTAACTTTCCCAACTTACCTCCCACATGGGGCACTGCAGTCTAGTGGAGAGTACATGGGCTTTGGAGGATTAAGATACGAATTGAGGGGGTGTTAGGAAGGGCTCTTAGAGCTCACAGTTCCCCCTTCTCCTCACTCCCCATCGTCAATGGGCCCAGTCCAATTGTTCTCCACGATGCAAGCTACAAATCCAACAGCCATTTATGCTGCCCAGGAGAGGCTCGGACTGGCTTATATGCTCTCATCTAATCTGGAATTTCCTCATTAGACAGAGCCTCAGACAAGCCCCCTCCTGGCCACCTCTTATGATGGCCCTTGCTGAGGCCCTTAAAGTCCTTAAACCATCCCCCCAGTTTCCTCCAGCAATCATCTAGGGATCCCTTAAGGCCTTCATGCCCCACCCCACCCACATTCTGTAGCCTGGACAGGGCATTTGGAGCCCCCAGCCTCCTAGCCTTCCAGCCATCCTGCTTCACCGTCCATCCCTCCTCCTGCAGGTGGGGGGCCATGGGGAGAAGTGGGCCTGCCTGCGCAGCCTCTCCTCCCTTTGGCCCTGCCCAGAGAGAGAGGGATAAAGGAGCACCAGAGCAGCCCTGCCTGATTCTCATTAGGGGCCACAGCTGGGATGGACCCTGCGGAGCCGGATGGCAGCAGCCAAGGTGGAGCGAGCAGGACCCGCTCCCGGCGACCACACAGGTAGGGGCCTGGGTTTTGGGAGAACACAGGGGAAGTGGGAGAAAATTCTTTGGGGTTCTGTCTGTCCACTGAAAGCTCAGTCTTTAAGAATTTGGGGTGCATCAGGTGGGAAAAGGGGCTTCCTAGCCCCCAACCCAACGCTGGAAGTGTCTGGAGACTATCTCTCACCCCTCACAGTTCAGAGGAGGAAACTGAGGCCAGACAGAGGATAAGTCAGGGCTAGCTCAGGGTCTGACCATTTAGGGCAGAGATTCCCCATTTGCCTTTTTTCCCTTCCACTCAACAAATGTTTCTCTGCCCAGAAATACTATACAGCTCCCTGCAGTGGGATCTGGTCCTCTGGTTATCTTTGTAGCCCCAGTATGTAACCTGGTGCCAGGTGTTCATAAGTGTGTGAATGGAAACACTTCAGGTTGGACATTACACCATTAGAGAGTCATTCTTTTGGGTATGCTAGCTCACTAGGCCTTCCATCAGGCATTCATACCTTAGCACAGATTCATTTTGCCAACAGATGGAAGAGATGAGTTCCCCAGAGAGAACTGAATCTTGGGTGAAGGAGGGATCATTGTAGACCTTAGGGTCTCAGTGTGAAATGGTTTTCCCAAGCTGGGAAGAAAGGCAACCTGGCAGCAAGAGGAAGGCAAAAAAAGAAGATGGACATTTACTAAAAGAGATTTTCAGTTGTTCCTGGTCCTGCCCAAAGCTCAAGAAGGAAGGTGGCATGCTAGACTAAGTTTGGCCCTCAAGTTTTAAGAATCTTGGTCAGGGGGCTCACTTGGCAGGTTCCACCTCCCCCTCACTGTACCCAGCCCCACCTTCCTCATCCCTGCTCTTCTCCTCTGCACACCCTGTGTTCACCCAACAGGCCAGTCCTGATCACTGCTCAGGGGTCCACTGCTCTGGCCTCCCAGCCACCCAGCTGCTTTTGCTGCCTCCCCAGGCCTGGATTACCGGTGACTTCTGGCTGTTCTGTCCCCAACCCTTGGCCTCAGAATTTGGCTTAAGAAATTCCCCAAATCCAGCAGCCCTCACCCCTGACAAGTCAATCTTGGTTAACCAGAGAAGTATTGTGCTGAGTGAGGACACCTGGGTTATAGTCCTAACTCTTGTTCCGAGTCCCAGGCCAGTTACTTGACCTCTCTGAGCCTCAGATTTTGAAAACAAAAGATGACTCCTGACTTTTAAGGCTTGTTTTGAGGATTAAATGAACTAATTTGCCAGTACCCCAAACAAAATGTGTTTTATTGGTATGTTAAGGATGTGTGGGTGGAGGGCAGGACTTATCAGAGCATTTAATATGTTCATGTATGGTAAGCAATATACAACATGACTCTAAAAAAATATAGAAGGAGGAGTTTCTCAAATCAATTTGATCACAAAGCCCCTAGCTCCTGTTGCTATGGCTCGTCTGATGGTCTAAGAGCACCTCTAGACATGCTGGGAGAGCTCTGTTGCTGGATCTCTCAGCTCGTGAAGGAGCTAGTATGGTGGCCTCTTAGGCAGTCCTGCAGGTCAGCTTCATTGGTGGTCTTTAGGGAAAGCGAAGCTTTGGGGACTGGGGACAGGAGGCTTTCAAGCCCTTCCTTTGAGGGCCACTGGCTCCTCCTCTAGGGGGTGAGAGGCTCCGCCTCTCAGGTCACCCACTCTTTCTCCAGTGACTGTCATTTCCACCTCACCCCAACCTCCATCCACCTTCTATCCTCCCTAACTTTGGCTGTCACCACTGATCTGGTCCCTCCCCCACTGCAGCCTCTTCCTATCTACTCCTCATGTTATAATTGGGAGCAGAAACATACCAGGCCAGGCATCTTCTATAAACCTAAAAGAAATTTGAAAAAACGTGTGTCCCCTCCACACTCCCAGTTATCTAATGGTATTCATCATAACGTAAATTGTTGCAAAGGTTAAATTTCTAATGTATTCTACACAGTCCCACTTTAAAATAATACAATTATTCTTTTTTAATTCCAAAAGAGAGTTTTAAAAGATGTTTTTAGAGTAGTTATATCACTAAATCAAATGCTTTTTACCGTTTCTGAATCTTCTCCAAGACTGGCACTTCAGGCAAGATTTTGAGGGATGTGTTCAAAGCTCTCAGCTTTGAACACAAAGCTCACAAGAACTTGCCCTCAATCTTCCTGCAGGAGTCCCTCAATTTTTCCAAGCCAGGCAGTGAGAATGATTGAAAGTCACCATGGGGTACTGGGCTGGGGCTGGCTGTAGCTCTGTGCAGAATTTCAGTCGAAGGTATTTCGGGCTGTTTGCTTTGGGACCTGCCAATGAACTTGCTGTGTGGGCAGCTGAGCAGCAATGGCAGGTGAGCAGGGTGGATTTGATTAAGTACATTATTCTTTTCATGCATCCAGTGGCATCTAAGTACCAGAGAGATTTAACATATACTGTCATCCATTTAAAAGTATATAAAAGCAGGCTCTTTACAGTTTTACATAACTCTTTTTCTCCTTGAATACCTATTCTACTTCTCCCACAGAATTTTACCAATACAAATATTTTTCTTTTCAGAAGTCTTTCACTGATCACGATATTATCTGTTCCTGCAGCAAAAATATTTGTGAAACAGAAATATGACTTTTTTCTAGATTTAGTTATTAGTAGTACTCAACTGATCAAAAGAAATAAATTACACACTTTTTTTTTTTGTTTTTGGCCATGCCATAGGCTTGTAGGATCTTATTTCCCTCACCAGGGATCGAACCCAGGCCCTGGCAGTGAAAGTGCTGAGTCCCAAACACTAGATTGCCAGGGAACTCCCTACACACTTTAACAGTTAATTACTAAATAACAAAATTTTCACTACAAAATTTAGATGAGATTGTTGCTTCCCCCCCCACCAAAAAAAGCTCATGTATCCATGGATAAACATTACTTATTGCTAGAATAAGACAGGATTCAACATCAGTTTCTTTTTGGTGGGGGGGGAGGGTTGTCTGTTATTCAATTTTATTTTTAAAAATTTTTATTGGGGTATAACTGATTTACAATGTTGTGCTATCAACATCAATTTCTATTTCTTTTTTTTTTTTTTTTTTTGCGGTACACGGGCCTCTCACTGTTGTGGCCTCTCCCATCGTGGAGCACAGGCTCTGGACGCACAGGCCCAGCGGCCATGGCTCACAGGCCCAGCCGCTCCGCAGCATGTGGGATCTTCCCGGACCGGGGCAAGAACCCGTGTCCCCTGCATCAGCAGGCGGACTCTCAACCACTGCGCCACCAAGGAGTTAATATTTATGAATGGAAGCACTGAGAAATCTTGTTCACATAAATAAGCAAATGGAAATGAAAGGTTATTTGTTATATCAGGGGCACTCAATTCTTTGAATTTCTTCTGAATTAAACCAAAAATGACGTAGTGGTCTGAATTAAAATCAAAAGTTACCGTTTAATGATCTTATATTACCTTCCTGGCCCTCACAACAGCTTCCATAAAAATAACATAATAACAACTACAGTTATTATAAGTATTATATTATGTAATAATATAATAATAGTCATTGTAATAAGGACCATGTGCCTGCCGATCTGGTACCTTCACCAACAAGACTGGGTGTCTGTCACCCATCCTGCCCTTCCTCCACCTGCTTCTCTGCCAGGGCCTCTCTTGGAAATTCTCTGGAGAATGGTGGGGGCCACTCTATGGCAGACCTCCAGCATCAGCTGGCAGTCTGTGTTCTCTTGGGACAAGAGTCTGGCCTCTGTCCCCGTCCCTGCTGCCCTGGCCACTTCACATGTGGGCTTATTCCCACTCCTGGCAGGGAAGCACGCGACAAGAGCAGAGGTCCCCAGAGCCCTGGATCAGGCCTGGACACATAGTAGATTCTCAATAAATGTTGGCCCAACTTGACCTCCTCCCACCCTTCCCACCTCACAGGCTGGCCCTCAAATGTCCTTGTAGTAGTGGTGACAATGATGATTATAATGATGACAGCAGAGTGATAAGAACAGCTAATATTTATCGAGGGCTTGCTATGTGCCAGGTATAGTTGGCCATGTGTATCTGTATGTTCCGTATCCGTGGATTAAACCAACTGCAGATCGAAATATTTGGGAAAAAAAATCCCAGAAATTTCCAAAAAGCAAAACTTGAATTTGCTGTGTACCAGCAAATATTTACATAGTGTTTACATTGTATTAGGTGTTATAAGTGATCTAGAGATAATTTAAAGTATACAGGAGCATATGCATAGGTTATATGCAAATACTATGCCATTTTATTTTTTTTTAATTTGCGGTACGTGGGCCTCTCACTGTTGTGGCCTCTCTCGTTGCGAAGCACAGGCTCCGGACGCGCAGGCTCAGCGGCCATGGCTCATGGGCCTAGCCGCTCCGTGGCATGTGGGATCTTCCCGGACTGGGGCACGAACCCGGTTGAGGTTGAGGCGGACTCTCAACCACTGTGCCACCAGGGAAGCCCCTTTTTTAAATTTTTTATTTATTTATTTTTATTTTTTCTATTTCTTGGCTGGGCCACGTAGCATTCGGGATCTTAGTTCTCCGACCAGAGACTGAACCTGTGCCCCCTGCAGTGGAAGCACGGTGTCTTAACCACTGGACCACCAGGGAAGTCCCTATGCCATTTTATATAAGGGACTCGAGCATCCACGGATTTTGGTGTCCATGGAGGTTATGGAACCAACCTCGCACGGATACCAAGGGATAACTGTACTTTACATACAATATCTCATTTACATTTTACATCATCCCCTAAATTAAGTACTGATAACTTACAAATGAAGAAACTGAGGCATGGAAAGTTTGTCCAAGCTCATACAACCAAGAAGTAGTGGTACCAGGCAGAACTGGCTATATAATTTGTGGGACCCAGCACAAAAAGAAAATCAGCGTCCCTTGTTCAAAAATTTAATAATTTCAAGACAGCAATGGCAGAACATTGAAGCAAGTGTGGAGCCCCTGCGTGACTACACAGGTCTGTGCCCATAGAGCAGGCCCTGGTTCCGGAATCTGAACCCAGAATTCTGAATCCAGAGCCCACCAGACTCTGTGCTTGGAGAAAGTAATAGGAATCACTATGATTTACTGAGCACCTGCTATGTGCATTGTGCGAAATCTAAAAAAACCTTCACAACAACCCTGAGGTAACAGGAGGCATTGTTACCCTCACGTTTAAGGGGGGAGGAAACCAAGCTTTAGGGAAATTGAATTACCACCCAGGGTTATCAAGCGGAGTCAGGATTTGAACACAGGACCAAACCTGAAGCCTGAGTCTTCATGTCACACAGCGTCTTTCTAGAAGGATCACAAAGGCAGGAACTAAAATGGGGCTGGGCATGACTCAGATGATCTCTTAGGAACTTTGACCGAGGGGCCTGTCACTGGGGGTCCAGCCGCTGCTTCACTCAGGACCGGAAGGCATCCCAGGTCTGCAGATATTTCCAGCGAGGCTTCTGCTTCCACGGAGATGGATGCAGGTAAGTGCCTCTTCTCCTCAAGTGGGGAGCGGGCTGGGAGACTCGGGAGGGAGGAATCATTCTTCATGGACCATGCATCTTCCCAGAGCCCCTCTGCCCTCAGCTCCAAGTACTAGGCTGAGCTAGCTCTGAGCCGTGGAGGAGCTATCCCTTTCTCCTTACCCTTCTCTTCCTCACGACAGCTACCGGCACCTGCAGCCTCCCCACCACCTTGAGTGGGGCCGCCGCCATTCGGAGCCACACATCACCCTGTCAGGCCCCCTGCAGGGACTGACCCGCAGGGGCTCCGAGCCCTCCTACCTGCCCTCTGTGACTGCCGGATGGCGTTGGGCCGGGGCCTACCAGGGCATGGAGCCTGGCCTGGAGGAGTTGTTCAGCAAGGCTGAGGACATTGGTGGCAGCTCCTGGAAGTCCCTGTCCCTAGCATGTGAGTCATCAGGGGTACTGCAGGTGGGCACAAGTGAGATCTGAGACCAGGGTCCCTGCTCTGTCTCTGAGCAAGGTTTATATTTCCTTCCGCCCCCTCCCTCCTCAATATTCCCAGCCAGAGGGAAAATTTCCTCTGGCTCTGTTGCTCTCTGTGTTCTAGAAGCAGAATACCATGGGCCTGTGGAGTCAAACCACCTAGTTTCAAATGCTGGCTCCACCACTTAGGAACTGTGTGACCTTGAACAAGTCACTTAACCTCTCTGAGTCTCAACTGCCTCATCTGCTGAAGGGCACTGATAATAGCACCTACTCACAGGGTCTTGATGAGTTCGTATATGTGATGTGCATAGCACAGTACCTGGCACAGAGTAAACACTAAATATTAGTAGTTATTTTTTAAATTATTGCTCTAATTCAGTGCTGTCCAACAGAAATATGTTACATATGGAATTTTTTTCCTTAACATCTTTATTGGAGTATAATCGCTTTACAATGGTGTGTTAGTTTCTGCTGTATAACAAAGTGAATCAGCTATACATAGACATATATCCCCATACCTCCTCCCTCTTGCGTCTCCCTCCCACCTCCCACCCTCCCTATCCCACCCCTCTAGGTGGACACAAAGCACAGAGCTGATCTCCCTGTGCTATGTGGCTGCTTCCCACTAGCTATCTGTTTTACATTTGGTAGTGTATATATGTCCATGCCACTCTCTCACTTTGTCCCAGCTTACCCTTCCCCCTCCCCGTGTCCTCAAGTCCATTCTCTATGTCTGCGTCTTCATTCCTGTCCTGCCCCTAGGTTCTTCAGAACCATTTTTTTTTTTTTTAGATTCCATATAACATGGAATTTTTTGTATCAGCTTTATTGAGATATAATTCACAAACCAAAAAATTCACCAACTTAAAGTGTACGATTCAATGTAATACAGTATATTCAGAGTTGTACAAACATTAGCACTGTTTTTTTAAATTAATTTTTATTGGAGTAGAGTTGATTTGCAATGTTGTGTTAGTTTCTGTTGTACAGCAAAGTGAATCAGTTATACATATACATATCTCCACGCTCTTTTAGATTCTTTTCCCATATAGGTAGTTACAGAGTACTGAGTAGAGTCCCCTGTGCTATACAGTCGGTTCTTATTAGTAGCACTATTTAATTCTAGAAGATTTTCATTACCCCAAAAAGAAGCCCATTAGCAATCACTCTCCATCCACAACACCTCCCGGCCATTGGTAAACACTAATCTATTTTCTGGCGCTATGGATTTGCCTCTTCTGGACATTTCATATAAATGGAATCATACAATATATGGCCTTTTTGTGTCTGGCTTCTTTTATTTAGTATAATATTTTCTAGATTTATTCATGTTGCAGCATATAGAAGTACTTCATTTCCTTTTATGGCCAAATAATATCCCAGTGTATGGATATATACCACATTTTGTTTTATTCATTCACCAGTTGATGGATACTTGGGTTGTTTTTGCTTTTTGACTATTATGAATAATGTTGCTATGAGCACTTATGTACAAATTTTTGTGCGGATGTATATTTTCATTTCTCTTGGGTATATACCTAGGAGTGGAGTTACTGGATCATACGTTAACCCTATGTTTAATATTTTGAGGAACCACCAAACTCTTTTCCAAAGTGGTTGCACCATTTTACAGTTCACGCATGTAATTAAAATTTCTGTAGCAGCCTCATTTTAAAAAAAGGAAAAAGAAACAGGTGAAATTAATTTTAATATTTAACCCAATATATCAAAAATTACATATCAATATCATTCCAATATGTAATTAATATAAAAAGTTAATAATGAAACATTTTAGAGACTTTTTGGTATTCAGCTTCAAAATCTCATGTGTATTTTACACTTATGACACATCTGAATTCAGACTAGCTCCATTCCAGGTGCTTGATAGCCACATGTGGCAGGTGGCTATCGTATTGAATAGCACAGGTCTAAACAGTTGTGTTAGAGACATAATTCTGACTAGACTCTGAACTACTGGTGGACAGAACTTTACACACCCTCAGGGCCTTGCATGCAGCAGACGCTTAGGAGATACCACATGAATGAGTAAATGAATGAATGGATCCAGTTTTCCCCAACAGCTGCTGATGGTGATCACAGCTACTTCCCAAAGTCTCAGCCTATGTCAGACCCTGTTCAGGAGCTCCTGGCCCCACTTCAAAGCCTGGACCTGGAGGTGCAGCAGGTAGTGGAGGGGGAGGGGAAGAGGATGCCATGCTGGACCTCTGGGATGCCCATACCTGCTGGAGGAGGGCTCTGTGTTCCCTGGGGCCGTATTTGGGGTGACAGTGTGTGTGTGTGGAGAGGGGGGGCAGGGTGGGGGCTGAAGGGAGGATGTGCTCTGACCCTGCCTGTGGCTGCAGAGGGTGCAGGACAGTCGGGACATCGTGTGTGGCATCTGCATGGACAAGGTGTGGGACAAGCCAGAGGCCGAGCGGATTTTTGGCATCCTGCCCAACTGCAGCCACCCCCACTGCCTGGGCTGCCTGCGTACCTGGCGGAAGAGCCGAGGGGACTTCCCGCTGGGTGTCATCAAGTCAGTGTCATGGAGGGGCCAGCAGGGAGGGAGGGAAAGGTCCCACGGAGGGGTGGGCTCAGAGACAGGCCGATGGGCTTGTGACTACTCCTCTCCCACCTCCCACCCCATCCCACCTCGCAGGGCCTGTCCCCAGTGCCGTGTCCCTTCCAGCTACATCATCCCCTGCAAATTCTGGGTGAGCAAGGGACCTAAGAAGGAACAACTCATCAGGAACTTCAAGGCTCGGACCAGGTGAGTCTGGCAGGAGGAGCATGACTCAGGTTAGGAAAGAGGGGAAGCAGTCCCTGATCTATACCCTCTCAGCCGTGGTTCCCAGCATGGCGTCCCCCAAATCCTGGAAGTGCAGAGTGACCAAGACAGCAGGTGAGGGTGTGAGCTATTTCCGCTATTTCAGAAAGCCCAGTGAATAATAGTGAGTGACTGAGACAGTCAAGGCCAAGTTTCTCTTCTAGCCTGGCTCAGGATCCACACAGGGAAACTCTGGATCTCTCAGCATGATGGGAAGCCCTGCTTGGCTTTTATTTCTGATTTTTTTTTAAAGCAAGAAAGTATAGGAATTCCTTGGGAGTCCAGTGGTTAGGACTTGGCACGCTCACTGACGGGGCCCCAGGTTCTATCCCTGGTCGGGGAACTACGATCCCACAAGCCACCATGGAAGTAGAGACTCTTACTGTTACCACGCTGTAGAAGGAGAAAGTGAGGCAAGGTCTATGGGGCTTAAATAAGGAAGTGGGTTTGAACCCAGACATTCTGACTCCTAGCATGGACTAGAAGGAACCATGGGGAGGATATTGACTTGAGAGGAGGAAGGGCCATACCTGGGTAGCCAACTGACCATGAGGTTGAAAGGAAATTGTAAGATGATTAATGTTTCCAGATGGACGGCCACAGGACTGGTACTATCACGTGAGAGCTGAGTGAGGGAGACTGATGGAGAATCTGGTCGGGTTGAGTGGGGTGGTTTTGGATGCTATCTGGATGGAGGGGTTCCTGATGCTAGGTTTGGTCAAATGGTAGGAAGAGGAAGAGGGACAGTCATTTTAGAGGGATTCCCGGGCTTCCAGCTTGGTGGTCAGCGGGATCCTCCATTCACGCTGGGACTGCAGGAAGTGGGAAAGACTCAACTGCGTTGGAGTCAAGCAGAGAGGTGATGATGCAGGAAAAAGGAAAAAGGCTATAAATACGCGCTTTATCTTTTTCTCCCTCTCGTCCATCTTTCTGTGCAAGAAAAAGCTGTTCCTACTTAAGCAGATCACAAGTTGCCCACAAACCCTTCCTGTATCTGACCTTTCACAGAATGAAATTTGAAATCTCAGAAGTGGGAAACTTCTTAATTTCATTAGCTAGCAGTTACCAAATCATAAGACCACCCCTCAGAAGAGGGCATTGTTCTAACCTGGTTACAGAGACACATTGTAGGGTTAACTGCTCTCCCTCCTCCTTTGGTGGTATTACTGAAACTTAGTTCAGGAAAGGAAGGAAAGGAGATTCCCAGGGCCACTGCTGTCCCAAATAGACTTTGTGGGAATTAAGAGAAAGGTACCACTTAAGACACTTTACTGCCATCTGCTGGGAAATAATTGTAATAAATATAACATCTATGCTTGTCTATGTGACCCTAGAGGTGCCAGGATAGATGTGGTGGTGCTTTTGTGCTGTGTATAACCTACCCAACATTATATGTCAGCCTTGAGTGCCCCTTGTTCCTGGCGCAACTGGGCTTGAAGGTGATGGTCTTCTATCCTTCTGCCCTCTCATAGCCAGATTCGATGCCGGTTCTTCATGCGGGGGAATGGCCGCTGCCCCTTCAAGTCGGACTGCATTTACCTGCACCAGCTCCCAGATAAGGCCCCGACTTCTGATTCTCCCTGGCCCGGGAGTATGCAGCTGGCCTCTGTGAGTGAGGTGGTAACAGCAGGGATAAGGGGTCGGGGAGGCTGCTGGCCATGGTTTATAATAAATGTCTGTGATAAATGTAAAACCTATGTATGATGTCTATGACATTAATGGTGCCTGCTTAGATGTGGTACCTTTGTGCTACGTACAACCTGCCTAACCTTATGTGTCAGCCTTGATTCCCCTGTACCACGTACAGCTGGGGTCGAAGCTGAGGGGTTTTCACTGATTTCTTTTTCCACTCTCAGGTGGTGGGCAAAACAGCGTTCCTAGGGGGCACCGAGCCAGAGGAGGAAGTGTTCTTCATGGACTGTGCCCTGACCATGGCCTTCTGGGGTTCAGAACTCCTCCTGGACCCCAACAGTTCTTACCACTGCCTCCTGTAACCAGGATCAACGTGTGGGGGGATGGGGCTGAGGGGCAGGGGTTGCCAGGTGGTAGGTCTTTTCCCTTTGGAGCTTGGTGGGGGATGAAAGTAGCAAGTGCCCCACACCCATGAACTGCAGCAGTGACACAGCTGGGGAACATGGGGAGGGGGGATGGCTCTCGGGAAAGAGGAAGGGTTCTCACCCTCCTGCCAGGGACTTGGTTTTTAACTTTACTCTTTTGTAGAAGGATTCTGAAAGAAAACCAATAAAGTGCACTTAAGCCATCACTGCTGGTGTCTGAAGAGTGTCTGCTTATAGCCCAGGTGCACCCTCACCCCTACCCCCACCAAGGGTTTCTTCTGCATTTAATCTGTTGCAATATCACCTGTCACTTAGCCTTCGGAAAACTTCACTTTATGCTCATAAGAGAATGAGAACAGAAAGGGCAAATAATGTAGGTATTATAATGGAATATATATATATTCCATAATGGAATCCTTGTAGGTATTATAAAGGGTCTCAAGGATTCCCCCTTGGAATCCTTGTGGATTCCAAGTGTGGTTCAAGAACCACACTTGGAAGTTTTCTCCCTATTCTCCTTCCCATTGGCTAGAATGCAGACCTTGGTGGGCATGAACCAGAGCCACCACGATAAGGCTGGAGTTGAGGATGGGCAGGGCATTGAAGGCTGTTTAGCATTCTTGGCCCCGCCCACTACTTATCAGGGCCTCCACCCCTTTGCCCCCAACATCATTTGGTCATTTGAAGACCAAAACCATCTCCTATGAAGTTAGAACTGACAAACTGAGATAGAGGTTCCTGGAAGAAACCTATTTCCTACTCTTTTGCCCTTTGCAAAGCAGGCACTATCTAAGACAGAGGTCCCCAACCCCCGGGCCACGGACCGATACCAGTCCGTGGCCTGTTAGGAACCAGGCCGCAGAGCAGGAGGTGAGCGGGTGAGCGGTGAGCGAAGCTTCATCTGTGTTTACAGCCGCTCCCCGTGGCTCACATTACCGCCTGAGCTCCGCCTCCTGTCAGATCTGCGGTGGCATTACATTCTCAGAGGGGCTCGAACCCTACTGTGAACTGCGCATGCGAGGGATCTAGGTTGCGCGCTCCTTATGAGAATCTAATGCTTGGTGTTCTGAGGTGGAGCTGAGGCGGTGATGCTAGCGCTGGGGAGCAGCTGAAAATATAGATTATCAATAGCAGAGGGGTTTGACTGCACAGAGACCATAATAAATCAACTGCTTGCAGACTCATATCAAAACTCTATCAGTGAGTGGCAAGTGACGATGAAGCTGCACCTTATGGAGTAGACTGGACATAAGCAACACACTTCGGGTGTCACTGTTTCCCGTCACCCCCAGATGGGACCATCTAGTTGCAGGAAAACAAGCTCAGGGCTCCCACTGATTCTGCATTATGGTGAGTTGTATCATTGTTTCATTATATATTACAATGTAATAATAATAGAAATAAAGTGCACAATAAATGTAATGCGCTTGAGTCATCCCCAAACCATCCACCCCACCCCCACCCCCATCCGTGGAAAATTTGTCTTCCGTGAAACCGGTCCCTGGTGACAAACATTTTGGGGACCACTGGTTTAAGAAATACTCCGTAGTCTTTTCCAATAGCTCTCTTAAAATCTCTTTTTTTTTTTTGCGGTATGCGGGCCTCTCACCATTGTGGCCTCTCCCGTTGCGGAGCACAGGCTCCAGACGCGCAGGCTCAGTGGCCATGGCTCACGGGCCTAGCCACTCTGCGGCATATGGGATCTTCCTGGACCGGGGCACGAACCCGTGTCCCCTGCATCGGCAGGCGGACTCTCAACCACTGCGCCACCGGGAAGCCCTTAAAATCATTTTTAAAAAATTTTATTTTATTTTTTGGCTGCATCAGGTCTTAGTTGCAGCACGCGGGATCTTTTGTTGCGATGCACAGGCTCTTCCTTGCAGTGCGTGGGCTTCTCTCTAGTTCTGGTGCATGGGCTCCAGAGCTCATGAGCTCTGTAGCTGCAGTACACGGGTTCTCTAGTTGTGGTGTGCGGGCTCAGTAGTTGTGGCACGCGGGCTTAGTTGTCCTGTGGCATGTGGGATCTTAGTTCCCCAACCAGGGATCGAACCGGCATCCCCTGCATTGCAAGATGGATTCTTAACCACTGGACCACCAGGGAAGTCCCTCCCTTGAAATCATTTTGGAAAAAATAAAAAATTTGGCTCTAATGGAAATCAGATCCAGTTCAAAATATGCCTATGGCTTCCCATACTATTCAGGGTGAAAGACAAATTCCTCTCTATGATGTCAAGGCCTCACAAGATCTGGTCTGGTTACCTCTCCTGTTACTCCCCAGCAAGTGCACTCTTGCCTGACCACCTATTTAAAACTACCTCACTCTATCTCCCTTCCCTGCTATATCCTTGAAAGCACTTATCACAAACAAACATTCTACTGTTTACTTACTTAGTTGTCTGTCTCTCCTCAATTGAGGGTCAGCAACAATGAGGGCAAAGGTATTTATTTTGTTCCCTGCATCCTGAGCGCTAGGTGCTCAGTAAAGATTTATTGATTGAGTGGATGTGTGCATGGCAGCAGAAGCTGGGAGGATGGAAATACAAGCTGACACCCAAAGGAGGGTTTATGGGGTGCTGTGGGGCTCTTCTCCCCTCTGCCTTTATTCCTATCCTCTGCTATGGTCCCTCCCTTCGCTGGAAGCCTGCCTCCTCCAGCAGATTTCCTTAAATCAAAACGCTGGGAATTGGAGGCACTCTTGGTTCCTTATAAACAACCAGAGCAAGGCCACTTCTTGATCTTAGGGAGGAAGTTTACAGGAATGCCTTTGGCCATATAGATGGCATTAGGTTTTACTGCGACTCCATCCTCGGGTGTATTAGTAGATCGAACATTTCTGGAGAGGACTGAAACCCGAATGATGGCAGTTGATGGCCTGTGGAAGAGGTGACGTTATGGTAAATTATGATCAAATCCTATGGCAAAGCCCATGATCTATAGGCAACATGGGCGTCAGCTAAAATTAAATGATGCTTGGATCCTGAAGTACAACCAGCAGGATCCCTGATATCCATTCTGTACGCCCGCCCCCTCACTTACTTCAGCGATCGGTGGAGGAAGCAAGGTTAGGGTCAGCCGCAGAGGATCCATCCTCCATCAAGCCCCGCCCCACTCTATCTCTTGCATGACCCCGCCCACTAACCGATTTCCTAGTGGCACCGCCCCCACTCTGGTCCCGCCTCATCAGCAGATCTGCACTCGACCTTCGCCCCGCCTCCCTACTCCTATCGTACTTGCCCCTTCCGGCCTGCCCTTGCGCCCAGCCCCCGCCGCACTTCCCCGTTCCTTTCCTTTCTGACAGATCTAGTCTCGCGCGCTGGCGCGCTGGCCGAGAACCTCTCCGAACGCTGAAGAGAGAATGTGGCGCGCGCAGGAAGGGGCCGGCCGCAGCATCAGGGCCGGCGCTGTCGTCCGCCTCCCTTTCCCCAGGCCTCGGAGCTGAGGCCCGAAACCAGAGCGCGGGGCAGCGCGGCTCCCTGGCCCCGGGCATGGAGGCCCCGGAGGCTGCACCCGCTCAGGCTGAGGGCGCGGAGCCGGCGCCTTGGGCGCACCTAGAGGCCCCCGCCCGCCTCCTGCTGCAGACGCTGCAGGCGGGGCCCGACGGGGCGCGGCGCGGCTTGGGAGTGCTGCGGGCTCTGAGCGGCCGCGGCGGGGAGCCCTTCGGCTGGGACCGCGTCTTCGAGGCGCTGTGCCGGGAGGAGCCAGTCGTGGAGGGCCCGGACTGTCGCCTGGAGCTGTAAGTCGTCCGCCCGCGTTCCTCCTGTCCTGCTGGTCGCGGCGACCGCTGGCGTAGCTCGGGGCGCCGCCCGTCATCCTCCACGGTGGTGTGAGGCAGGGGCTGGCGCTACCCACTTCTCTAGATGAGAAGACCGAGGCACAGAGAGGTGAAATACTTGCCCCGAGAGCGGGTCCCTGCCGCGCGCCCTGTGAGGCGGGGCCTCCGGCAGACCCTCATGGCGTAGGTACTGGGTGCAGTGCTGCCTACCTAGTCGAAAGACACCTGCCCTCGGTTGGGTGTAAATGAATAATTATGTCAGTGGATTCTAACTAATTTTAATCACACACTTCCATCTCTTACCTCCAGTATAGGTCAAGAGTACACGTGTGTTAAAATACGTACATTGTCAAGTATACATAAATAGAAATTTTTTAAAATTTTATTTTTATTTATGGCTGTGTTGGGTCTTCGTTGCTGCACGCGGGCTCTCTCTAGTTTCGGAGAGCAGGGGCTACTCTTCATTGCAGTGCGCGGGCTTCTCATTGCGGTGGCTTCTCGTTGCGGAGCACGGGCTCTAGGCGCGCAGGCTTCAGTAGTTGTGGCATGCAGGCTCAGGAGTTGTGGCACATGGGCTCTAGAGAACAGGCTCAGTAGTTGTGGCGCACGGGCTTAGTTGCTCTGCGGCATGTGGGATCTTCCTGGACCAGGGATGGAATCCGTGTCCCCTGCATTGGCAGGCGGACTCCTAACCACTGTGACACCAGGGAAGTCCCCATAAATAGAAATCTAAAATGTGGTAAATGACAATAAACATCTGATCATGCTGGCTTTATATTATCAGTTTTTCAAAGCATAATATACAGTTTAGGGGAAGATCTCTTACCTCGAGGATGGTGTTCTTGATAATTTTTAGTCTTTTGGGTGACTTTGAACTTTTTCCCTCCTCTTTATGTGGCTAAGAATCCCTACTAGGAGCAGAAGTGTCAGCTCTGCCATTTTTGAATTAGGTTGTGCTTCCCTTACTGGTAGTCAGTTTCTTTTCTGACATCCTTGTAAGCCATGTGTCCATTTTGTGAGGGTTCGTTTTGTTAAGAAAGATAATACAGCGTCCATAGACGCACTTAACTATCTAGTTAAGTAAAATACAGAAGGTAGCGTAGTGAGGTGCCACCTTCAGCCTCTAGGGGCTGAAGAGCAGGCCTCCCACTCTCCTTGAATACCCCTCCCTAAGAATTGGGTTGGACACTGGAATATGGAGGGCCAATCCATATTTTAAATATTTGTAATACTTATTTTGTATGTTTTAGATAAATAGAAATAGAAGTTCTATTATTTTCTTCCCACACTCCATCTTGAATTTCTTTCAAGAGAATTTTCTGAATCCGCAAATTGGACGCTCTAGAAATGTTTACCCAATGGTCTGGCTCTTTCCGGACAGAGTAAGGGGAATGGAACGTAACCTGCGGTCCCTGGATAGAACTGTACTGCAGTATAATTGTTTTCTTTTGTAATGCTATGTATTTTATGCATTTAACCCTCTTATTCTGATAAGGGAATCCATGCACAAAAAAGGTAAAAGTCCTTGGAGTAGGCTCTTCCCGACTTCTCTACTTCAGTATCCTCCACCACAAATTGACGATCTTTTTAACTTTTACTCCAGTTTTTTCTCTCATTTAGTGTTTTTTCTCCACAAAAAAATAAAAGGTTTCGTTCCTCTCTTATATATCCCAAGTGCCTCTGCGTGTGTTGACAAACAGCCCCACAAAGTCATGTATACAGAGGTGCAGAGGCGTGATGGGTGGTGGGCTAGATGCACTCATGACCTGCTTGCCACTCCAGCAAGCCTCAGGTCACATAGCATCTGCATTCGTGCCTTTGTCACGTTACAGATGGCTGCTTTGCTCTGTCCACAGCAGTCTTGCTGATCTGTGAAACTTATTCTCAGAGATTTAATTCAGTCAATAAATGTGCCCCAAGTGCCTGCTTTAGGCTGGTGTTGTGCTGGGTACTGGGACACAGAGGAAAGAGACACTGCTTCTGCCTCTCAGGAACTCAGTTCAGTGAAAGGAACATCAGAGCTGGACAGATGTGACCCTGTGAGTTCCAGGGGACTGCCAAGGGGAGCACAGGGCTGCAGGCTAAGCGTTGCTCGGTATTCTGGAGTATTATTTTTACGTAAAGTTTGGGAAAGGGCTTCTTTTTCTTTTTTACATAAAACAAGCATGGATCTATTATAGGGTAGGTTTCAACGTGAATTTTTGAGCTGAAATAGGAGATGTCAAAGAGCAGGGCCTAGTGTAGTGTAGAATAGATGCCCACTTGTTGAATGACTTCCATGCTGTCCCCTCCTCCATCCATACAGACTCGCAGGTACTGCCCACCAGCGCCCCCGTCTGTCCGGTGCCATCTAGCCTCGAGCTCTACCCAGTCTGCCCTGTGTCCCTTTCAGCAAGACACTCTTAACTGCTTGTTCTCCCTCTGCTACCCAGGAAACCACTGCTGCTGCGATTGCCCCCGTTATGCCAGAGGAACCTGATGTCCCTACTGATGGCTGTTTGGCCGTCGCTGCCCGGAAGCAGTCTCCGCCCTGTGCTGCAGATTTTGCGGCAGGATCCAAGCCCCGACCCTGACCCCTGGCTCCGGGCCCTTGGGGAATTTCTGCGAAGGGATCTGGGTGTTGGGGTCTCCACTGAGGGAGTGTCCCCACTGTCTAAAAGGTGCCAGAGACAGCTCCGAGGCCTGTGTATGCAGCTGGGCCAAGGGGGCAGGAAGTTGAAGTTGCCCCAGGCTCCAGATCCCGAAGGGACAGAACAGGAGGAGGACAAGGACTCCCAGCGGCCTGGGAAACGCAGAAAGGAAGCGGAGGAAGAGCCTGCCAGTCCTGAGGGGGAGAGGGCCCCCAAAAGGCTCCGGTGTTTGGAAAAGGAAGAAGAAGAAAGTCATGAGGAAAACAGACCTGAACATGCGTCTTTGGAATCCCTGGCCAATGGAGGAGGTGCATCGTCCATTAAGAACCAGCCTGTTTTGGGGGCTAAGCCCAGTGAGGCTGGTCAGAGTCTAGAGGATGCTAAGGGCCTACCTGAGAGTTTGGAGTTGCCCAGAGCTATCCAGGTACTAGGGTGAGGACGCTGCTTTCGAGTGATTCTTCAGGAATGGGGAGTTTAAGCCGGTTGGGATACTATGTCCCACCTCGGATGACTGTAGTCCGTGGAGCAAGGGGAAGGAGGTGGGGTTGAGGGAATGTAGTTTCTGCTCCACAGATTCTACAGAGGAGGGGGTGGGGACAGGAGTTACTGGAGGTGGGAGCCCTTGACCTAATGATCAATAGTGTGAGGTTAAGGGTACCACGGAAGAGGAAAGGCTCTGGAGCTACCCTTGCCACCCATCTTATGGGAATGGGGGAATCATACCAGCATCCAGCCTGTCCTCCCAGCCCAAGGCCTGGGTCTGCCCCCACTAGGATGTATGCAGAGAAGACAAGTCTGTTCAGTTGGGTTTACATAGGTCTTATCTAGTTTGAGTTCTTTAAGCACTTTGCAAGGTGTACGTTCTGGCTCTCTTGAATCATCTTTGCCTGCTAGTGCCCACTGACCTGGGGCCTTCTCAGAGAGGGGGCTGGGGCTGGGTTGGGGGCCATGCTGCGTGGGTGGGGACATAGCAGTGACTGGGCTCTCCTCTGCAGGAACAAGTTCCCAGGCTGCAGCAGCTGCTCAAGACCCTCGGGAAGGTGACTGGCCCTACTCTGCTACCCATAACCCTTCTTCCGCCCCCTGCCTGGACCCCAGCTGTGCCCAGGGAAGCCCCAGTGCAGTGAGGCACAGGCTGTTTGGGTGAGGGGGTTGGAATGGAGGTCTGAGGACAGTCCCTGCAAAGGCTTTTCTTGGTCCAAGTATGTTGTCTAACCTGAGGCAGGTTCTAACTCCAGGCAAGTTCCTCTCCTCTAGTAGCACCTTCTGGGGTCCTTAGCCATCCACTCCGCCAATTGAAGGGGTGGCCTCAGTGACTTGTCACTGAGGACTCTGCAGGTCCTAACACGGGATTTGCCTTCCCAGGGGTTGGAAGGGCTGGAGGGCACCCCACCAGTTGAGCTGCAGCTTCTCCACGAATGTAGTCCTGGCCAGGTGAGTCCAGAAAAACCACCTGGCCCTGAGGACACGTTCCCTCTCTCCATTTAAGTTTGTGTTTCCCTGCCTCATGTAGGAATTTGGGGAGGGAATTTTGTTGGGTTTTTTGGTCTCAGGGGCAGGGGTGACCCTCAGTGGTTTCTTTTAGCCCTTGGTTCCTCCCCGTAGGGCAGCTCTCCCCACCTTACCTTACTCTGGAGTGTCCTGGCCCTGCCCCTTCTGCTGCCTCGTTGGATTGAGACAGCCCAGCAGAGACAGGCTGAGTGTCCCGGTGTCCTCCCTCCGCCTTGGCAGGTGGACCTGGTGTGTGCCCAGCTGCAGCTCCCGCAGCTCTCGGACACAGGTCTCCTGCAGCTCTGCACCTGGCTGCTGGCCCTTTCACCAGACCTCAGCCTCAGCATTGCTACTGTGCTGACCAGGAGCCTCTTCCTTGGACGGGTAGGTGCGCTGGGATGCACATGGAGTGCCAGGGACAGTGAGGGAGAGAGTTTGAACCCTCAGTAGGGTGGGAGAGGGGGTTCCCAGCCTTGCATGCATGTGCTTGTCTGGGGAGCCTGGGGCAAGGGAAGGGCATAACCCCCTAGGCCATCTACCCACCTGGCACCTAACTCCTCCCTCTTGGGCCCCAGATCCTTACAGAAGTGGAAGGGATTTGGGGTTTGGGATCAGGGATTTGGGAGCTGGGGAAGGGAGCTATGTGTCCTTTCCAATGAGTGGATCCATGTGAGTCCTAGATAAAAGAACTTCTCTTTTCTCTGTACTGTAATGTGTGAGCCTCTGAAATACGTGTTCAATAAACACTGATAGGAAGGAAGAAGAAAGAAATTAATATTTTCCTCCCCGTTGGCTGTAGATTCTCTCCCTGACTTCCTCAGCCTCCCGCTTGCTCACAACTGCCCTGACCTCCTTCTGTACTAAGTACACCTACGCCGTCTGCAGAGCCCTCCTTGGCCCTGTGCTTCAAGCCCCAGGAATAGGTAATTCTGGAATGGGCCCCAGGCCTGGTAGCTCTTCCCTGTCTGTTCCCAGCACCCTTCACCCCCCGGGTGGCCCTGGCAGGAGCTGAGTTTTCAATAAATGAAGATACCTGTTGCTTCCCTGACGATGCCACCTGTAAAGGGCCAGGCATTTTGTTCCCTGCTAGCCCCATTCTCTCCTGCCAGCTGCTCCCAGACTTTTCCCCTCTGCTGTCGCCCACCCAGGTCCAGCTCAAACAGAGTTACTGTGTTGCCTTACAAAGGACGAGGCCCTGGAGCCGGACATGCAGGCTCTAATGCTGGGGTGAGTGTACAAGCTCCACGCTGGCCCCACCCGCACCTCCTCCCTCTGGCCAAACCTGCTCTTGGCATTCTGGACTTGGAGCCGGCTGGGTACCAGGCCCCGTGCCTGAAATACAGGCAGTGGCACAGCCATTGCCCCCTCTACCTGTCCTGAGCCTGGCTTGTGCCTTCTCACCTGTGGGCCCCTGTTAGTTGCCATCCCATGCACCTTCCCAAGCCCAGGGTTTCAGTCTTCTGTGCCAGGTGCCCCCGGGAATGCGAAGGCTGGCACTCCTGCTCTTGAGTTCTTGGCGTAGTTGGAACATGGCGTAGTGGTTCAGAGCACTGGCTCTGGAGTCAGACAGACATGGTTGCAGGTCTCAACCTTGCCTTTTATTTAAATGTGTGAGTTTTAAACAGGTTATTCCGTCTCTCTGAGCCTCTGTTTCCATGTATGAACTCTGTAGAGTTTTTCTAGATAGTAAATGTGATAATGCATATAATGGCCTCGGCACAGTATTTGGCACCTAGTGAGTGCTCAAATATTGTTATTAAATTGGTGTTAAATTTAGGTGTCAAAATTGGGGAGTCAAGATACAGACATGTAGAAATAATGAGTAGGTGAGATCTCATTGGACACTAACATGAAATATGAAATGCTAAGTATAATATGAGAAGGGGACAGTCGCAAAAATACTACCAGCCACCAGTTATTGAGCACTCTCTCTGTGCTTTAGATTTATTACTTCGTTAGTCTTCATGCAATCCTGTGAGGTAAGTGCTGTGGCCGCCTTAGAGATGCAAAAACTGAAGCTCAGAGAGGTTGAGGGAGGTGGCCAAAGGTCACACAGCCAGCAAGTGCAAAAGCCTGGGATCAAACCCAAGTCTGTGCACCCAAGAAGCCACACCGTTTCCATGTGACATCCTGCTTTTCCAAACAAGCTGAGGACAGTAGGTGCAGCTGGAGTGGACCTCACCGTGGGCTGGGTTCCGCAGGGAGGTCTAGCCTTCTCTAGGAAGCCTCCTGTGTGTCGTCTCACCCATCATCCTCCTCCTCTTCCCTGGGTCGTTCTCCGCTTTCAAACTCAGGAGGCACTATCGACTCCTGGTTATTTTCCAGGGGACCTTTGTACCTCTCACTGCCAAATCCTTCATGTCAGGTCCCGGGGGTCTTGGGCTGTGGCCTTCCCAGCACTGAGTATGGGCTCTGCAGCAGTGGCTGCTAGATGGCCACCAGCATCGGGGGGCTCTGACTACTTCCTCTGTTGGCTGGAGATCTTGGCTGTCCCCAGGGCCTTGCCCTGCCTTGGGGTAGGAGCAGTAGATACTCAGGCTCAGTTGGGAGGCTGAGCTTTCCTCACTGGGGCCTGTGCCTTGCAGACAGATCTTGGAGCTGCCCTGGAAGGAAGAAACTTTCTTGGTGTTGCAGTCACTCCTGGAGCGGCAGGTGAGCAGGCTGCCTTGGGGAAGAGTGGACAAAGAAGTGCTGCAGTGCTGTGGCTGGGTGTGCAGCTCCTGGGTGTCTGACCCCTTCAGTGATGGAGGGGCAAGCAGGATGACTGCCCTCCGGCAGGGTGCCCGCGACGGTGGGAGGGTCCAGGGGCTTGAAAGGCCGGTAGCAGAGAGCTGACTGCACGGTGAATCCCAGCTCTGCCTCTTAGTAGCTGTGTGGCCTTGGGGAGGGACTTTTTGATGTGTGTGTGTAAATTTAATTTGTTTTTTAATTTAATTAATTTATTTTTTGGCCGCACTGCGTGGCATGCGGGATCCTAGTTCCGCGACCAGGGATTGAACCCGTGCCCCCTGAAGTGGAAGCGCGGAGTCCTAACCACTGGACTGCCAGGGACAGTGCCTAATTTATTTTTGAATAGGTAATAGATTCATATGTTCACAATTTTGAACGCTTAAAAGGATATAGTGAAAAAATTTTCCCCAGCCACTGAGATTCCCCTCCGCAGGGCTAATCAGTGTTACCAGTTGCAGGGGAACCCTCCCAGAGATGCTGTCTATATACAAGGACACATGGTGAAATTTACTTTTCCCCTTCCTTTTACATAGATGGTAACACACCAAGCTCAGTGCTCTGCACTTTGCTTTTTTCATCTAACAGTACATTTCGGCAGTTTTTCCATACATCAGTACCTAAAATTCTGCCTCATTTGTTTATAACGTAGGTAGTTGACTTAACCTCTTTATGCCTCAGTTTCCTCATCTGCAAAAGGGGAGTGATGATAGCACCTACCACATAAAACTGGGGTGAGGTTTAAATGGTATAATTGGTGTAACGTGCTCAGAATGGTACCTAACGCATAATAAGTGTTTATTAAATTGTGACTATGAAGATCTGTTGTTATTATACTGCCAGTGCCCCCTTGGGACCTCACTCCTTTATATCTTCAACCACTAAGCCAGGCGAGGGATCCTTGTCCCCCATCTCCTAATCTGAGCCTGTGCAACAGTGGCCACCATTTTTTGAGACCTGTGTGCTAGGCTTTATGTGCATAATCTCATTTAATCCTTTTCACAGTCTTCAGAGTTTGACATCATGAGCCCCATTTTATAGATGTGGAAACTGAGTCTCAGTTAAGTGACCTGCACAGGGTCACCTAGTTAGGAAGTGATGGAGTTGGGAGTTGAATCCAGGGCCCTTTCTTGTGCTACTGTCCGATCTCCTAATGTGTGCAGGTGGAGATGCCCTCTGAGAAGTTCAGTGTGTTGATGGAGAAACTCTGTAAAGAGGGGCCAGCAGCCACCACGTCCATGGCCTATGCCAAGCTCATGCTGACAGTGGTAACCAAGTATCGGGCCAATGTGAGTATTGGTAGGGCCATGAGGGCTGCTCCTACTGCTCTGAGCCTGCCACGAGGGTATATGTTTGTCAGGGAGAAAACCCTGAGTGTTAGCCTTGGAAACCACAAGTTCAAGCCCAAGACAGGGGAGTGAGACTGCTTAGGAGTTCATTCATCCAGCCAACACTGCTGTGGGCCAGATGCTATCTGGGGCATTAGGGAATCAACAGTGACCATATCACAGTTTCTGTCCTGGACTTGACCCTCTCCCCCAGTTAGTGAGAGGGGAGAGAGATGATAACTGGCTCATTGTAATATCTGGTAGGAGCCAGGTGAAAGGTATGCACAGGGCATTTGATGACAGAGGAAAAGGGGGCAACTAAACCTTGTTTGTGGTTGGGAGTTGGGACAGGCTTCCTGACTCTTAAAGGGTGAGTGGTAGTCAAGGGCGGAGATGAAGGAAAGGGCATTCCAGGCAAAAGAAACGGTGTAAGCACTCAGTGTCCCAGGGGATCTGCAGGTACATCATTGTAGCTGAGGCCTAAACTCCCAAGAGTAGGTGGCTGTAGGGGATGAAGTTAGAGAGCTAAAATACTGAGAACTGATACTTGTAGCCCCTGATATGTTCCAGGCATCGTTCTAAGCCCTTTGCATATGTTAACTCACTAGTTTATTCCAGGTGTTAGTCCTATGAGAAGATACTATTTTATAAGCTCCATTTTATAGGTGAGGAAATTGAGACGCAGGTTAAAGTAATTCGCCCGAGGTCACATTGCCAAGTCATGGTAGCATCTAATGGAGGGCCCTGTAGGTTATGTTGAGGAGTTTGGACTTTATCTTGAAGACCACGTCTTCTCTTGGCTCTTAACCCTTTTCTTGGGATCACAGGCCTATCTGATGATTTGGTGAAAGGCATACATCCTCCCAGAAAAACGGAAATATGAATACACATCTTATGCACAATTTCAGGAAGCTCCTGGATCCTCTGAAGACTCTCTGTAGATCCTGGAAGGATCTGCAATATGAGGCATCAGAGGTTATCTCAGGGCCTTCAGCTGGAGTGACCTGATTAGATTTGTATTCTGTAAAGAAACCTTTGGCCTTGGCAAGGAGTGGGGATTGGAGAGTGAAGGTACAGGGCAGAGATGGGTCAGAGGTTGCAGCAACAGGTCAGGGAAGAAAGAGTGGTCCAGAAGGAATGTGGCAGCCACAGTGGAGTGTCTCTGAACCTCAGTTTCCTCATCTGTAAAATGGGAGGATTGTGAGGATTAAATGAAGTCATGCATATAAAGTGCTGCCCCATAGAAAGCACCTAATAATTGTCAACTATTCTTAATATGGCTGACATAGTATGTTGTGCAGTTAGTATTTGACCCCAGGTCTACCTGAATCCAAGCACCTTGCTTAACCATGGTGAGATAATGAGGATAGATTGCTCACGGAGTCATCTCCTCCTATTGTCCTTGTGTCCTGGATTTCTCTCTTCTAACTAAACAGAGCCCAGGGGCAGAGGGGAGAGGGGAGAGATCAGCTGCTAGAGTCCAGACATGGTTCTTCCTTCTCTCCAGATCAGTGAGCCCCAGAGGCTGGGCCTGGCTGCAGCTCTGGAGCTCAATACCACTTTCCTGAAGAAGTCCCTGCAGGCTGCCCTGAGACATCTGGCCCCCTGACCATCCACCAAGGGACCACCCTCTCAGACCTCCCTCATCAGATTCCCGAAGGACACTTCTGCCCTGAGCACCTCATCCTGCCCCTTGCCTGGGGGTCAGGGCTGAGCCTGGCCATCCCAGGGGTCAACTGTCTCCCTGCTCCAGGCTGCAGAGAGGCCATCTGGGCCTCCCAGCCAGCAGGAAGGGTCTGGGGCTAAGGGGGCTGGGTGAGTTGTACTACCAAGAGCTGCTGAGCCTGGGCTGCCTCCTTGTCATTTCTACCTCAGGCTGTGGGGACAGACACTTTAAGATAGGCATCAGACTTCCTTGATGGTCCAGCGGTTAAGACTCCGCACTTCCATTGCAGGGGACGAGGGTTGGATCCCTGGTTGGGGGAGTTCCACATGCTGTGAGATGTGGCCAAAATATAATAATAATAAATAAAATAGGAGTTAAGATAGGCCTCAGTAGGGTCAAAGCAGACCCAGAGTGGACGACAGTGATGCTCCAGGAGCCCTGGGAGACCTGTATGTTTAGCACAGATCTCTTGTGCTCAAGTGTATGTTATGATCCTCTGTGTTGTTTCTGACTTAAATAATAATTTATCAGTGGTATTCCATAAAAAGCAGGAAGTTCAGTAATGCCTTATTAGAAGCAGTGCCTGCCTTCCTACTAACTCTGGGTGTTTGCTGAAAACTAACACGTACCACGCCACCCCCACCCTGCTCAGTGACAGGGGCATCTTTTTCCAAGGGAAATGTTCGGTGAGGGGAAGGTGGTAGAGTTCTGTGGGCCAGATCATGTATGATACAACCCACCCCAGCCCTATCAGAGCTGTTGAGTACGTGGGTGGGCTGTGCATCCTGCACTGGGGAGGGGGGCTTGAGGGTGAGAGTGACTCAGCCTGGAGTTGGGGAAGACTTTTGGGCAGATGATGGCTTTTGAGGAGGGATCTGAAGGGCTCCTGGGATTACTGTGAGCAGAGAACAGGATGAGGCCTATTGGACAGGAAAGACAGAAAGGGTGTGCAATACTGTGGGCTTGTGTGTTCTACAACTATATTCCCACAGCACTTAGCTAGGCGCCTTGTTCATAGTAAACACTTAACCTGGGGACTTCCTTGGTGGTCCAGTGGGAAAGACTCAGCGCTCCGAATGCAGAGGGCCCGGGTTCGATCCCTGGGCAGGGAACTAGATCCCACATGCATGCTGCAACTAAGAGTTCGCATGTCGCAAATAAGATCACACAGGGCTTCCCTGGTGGCGCAGTGTTGGGAGAGTCCGCCTGCCGATGCAGGGGACACGGGTTCGTGCCCTGGCCTGGTAAGATCCCACATGCCGCAGAGCGGCTGGGCCCGTGAGCCATGGCCGCTGAGCCTGCACGTCTGGAGCCTGTGCTCCGCAACGGGAGAGGCCACAACAGTGAGAGACCTGCATACCACAAAAAAAAAAAAAAATCACACATGCTGCAACTAAACATGCCACAACGAAGATCCAGCGCAGCCAAAATAAATATTTAAAAAACAAACAAACAAAAAGACACAACCTGGAGATGTTACTGAGTCAATTATCAGATGAAAGTTCCTCACAGAACCTTACCCGCTCCTCCCCACCGCAGGCTCTGAGGCGCCGGGAAGAGAACTCGACATTTCCCTTCCCACAACTTCCTCAGAAGCCGTGAGCCCCCGTTAGAACAAGATGATGAGGGAGAGAGGTCAGGAGCAAAGCCTGCTTTTGAGAAGTGAAGCAGGTGCTAAGGTCAGGAGGAAGCGTGGAGGTTTAAGGGACAAACATGTCGGAATTGCACGCTCTCAGCGGCCGGCACGGGGCGGCACCCAGGAGTGTGACTACTGCAGCTCACCGCCCTGGGCCCAGCCTCTTCCCTAAGGGCCTGGGGCAGCTGCTGGTGGCAACGGGCGCCCGGGACCGCCGCAGCTCTGTGGTCTCCGCGTAGGTCTAGCAGTGCAACACGCGGCTGCCGCGGCGCCCCACCCCCGGCACTGAGCGACCCGACCGCTCTCAAGGGGAAAGCCGCGGGAACAAGGCATCTCTCGCGATAACCAGGTCCTATTTGAGCGCGTGCGCGAACTGAGTTGTCTCTTTTCCGGTTATCGCGGCGCCAGGAGCTATGAGGTTAGTGGCGCTTAGAGTGATATCCGTACTCATCCGCGCCTCCGGGCGCCCCCGTGGGGAGGGAGACACTACGGGCGGAATCGGGGGTCCTTGCTTATGCTTCGTAGCGGGGCATTTTTGCCAGGTTTCGGCCTACGGGCCTGGCGTTGGAGTTCGCGTGCCAAGGCCGGCCGCCAGTATTGCCCCTCTTCCCCGGGGTTTGCATCTGGTCCAGATTGCCTCACTTGGCGTCCGCAATACCCGGGGAGTATTCCGTGGACCATCCCCGAGCCTGAGCCTTCTGACACTCCAACGGATTGGTCCACTGCTCGCTGGTCCTGAGCGCTCGTCTTGTTTTCTTCTTGCAGCAGCAAAGTCTCCCGAGACACCCTCTACGAGGCAGTGCGGGAAGTCCTGCACGGGAACCAGCGCAAGCGCCGGAAGTAAGCGCGGACTTCCGCGGAGGGCTGCTTTGGGAAGCCGCGGACGGTCCGGTAACTTTGTTACGCTCTTTTAAGGTTTTTGGAGACGGTGGAGCTTCAGATAAGCCTGAAGAACTATGACCCTCAGAAGGACAAACGCTTCTCGGGCACCGTCAGGTTGGCACCGTTCTAATCTCACCCAGCCCTCAGTGTCCCCATGCCTGTCTCCTCCCTTCAGGCTCCTGTTGAGCCCGAGGCGGCCAGGCACGTGTGGCACTGAAGTGCCCGGGTAGTGCAGACCCCCTGCTCCGGGCAGGCGTGGCTGGACGGACCCCCACCCTGGGTCTTAAAACAAGAGGGGAGGCGTGGGGAGGCCTTGGCTGAGCCCGCCGGCTGGTTTGAGAAGCCAGACTAGCTGTTGGTGAATGCGGACGCTCTGGGTAAGGCTCAGTACTGCAGCGGTCCCAGACCCCTTCACCTGCCCTTGGGACCCAGGGCTGGGTGTGACCTATACTGTCCCCCAAAATGCAGGCTTAAGTCCACTCCCCGCCCCAAGTTTTCCGTGTGTGTTCTGGGGGACCAGCAGCATTGTGATGAGGCCAAGGCTGTGGATATCCCCCACATGGACATCGAGGCCCTGAAGAAACTCAACAAGAATAAGAAACTGGTCAAGAAGCTGGGTGAGTGTGCCTGGTGTGGTTCTTCCCCGGCCGGCCACCCACCCACCGTGGTGTGGTTTTGTATGTGGGGTAGGGTGGAGGCAGTTCTCACTGGAGTGGTAGAACAGGAGTATTTCTGCCACTTGGATTTTAAAGTGATGATGGGGTAGAGTCAGGACAGAAAGGATCTGCTGTGGTTGGTTAACTTGACTGGTATTTTTTAGCCACGTGAAAATTCTATTTTGCTTTGAGGATTGGATTTAATAAGGGAAGAAAGCCAGGCAGTGGTTCTTTTCTAAGCAAGCGAGAACTGTCACATTGATAGGTCGCGTGTTGGTACATTCTGAATTGAAATTTCTACTTAAAACTCCCATATTTCATTTTAACCTTTAGGCTATGTGATTTGAGCATTTTACAGATAAACAGGTAACCCAGTTGTGTAGCTAAAAAGGCAGGATTTGAAACCAGGCAGACTTAACTAGCGTGAGCATTTTCATTGCAAGATGGGTTGTGAGTCAGCCTGGACTTCTACCGGGTTTCATGTGAATGTTGGGCCAGTAAAAGTCCAGAGGATGGAGATAATACTGGAATGGGGAGAGGATTAAAAAGACTCGGTAGCTGGGCTTCCCTGGTGGCGCAGTGGTTGAGAGTCCGCTTGCCGATGCAGGGGACACGGGTTCATGCCCCAGTCCGGGAAAATTCCACATGCCGCGGAGCGGCTAGGCCCGTGAGCCATGGCTGCTGAGCCTGTGTGTCCGGAGCCTGTGCTCTGCAACGGGAGAGGCCACAACAGTGAGAGGCCCGCGTACCAAAAAAAAAAAAAAAAAAAAATTAAGACTCAGTAGCTGGGGAACAGGTAGAGTGCTGGTTAGAGGCCACTTTTGCGGTTGTCTCATAGCCCTGTTTAGAGGTGTCTTCAGGGGCCAGGTCCTAACGGCTTCCTCTCTTTACCAGCCAAGAAGTATGATGCCTTTTTGGCTTCAGAGTCTCTGATCAAGCAGATCCCACGAATCCTGGGCCCAGGCCTGAATAAGGCTGGCAAGTTCCCTTCCTTGCTGACCCACAATGAGAACATGGTGGCCAAAGTTGATGAAGTGAAGTCCACAATCAAGTTCCAGATGAAGAAGGTGAGAAGGTCTAGCCAGTTGCATAGGTTGAACAGTGGTGAAGTTGACCCACGTTCTCCAAGTGGGAGCTCTGGTTTGCATTTCTGTGGATACTTAGGACTTGTGACAGTCACCTAACAGGATTGAAGCTTTTCAAATAACTCTGGTCTTGGTCTGGGGCCAGAGCACTGCTCATTAGGTCACTGGAGGTCATAGGGATGGGCCATCTGGCTCGTAGCCGGGCCCAGTCCACATTTTCTTGGATCTCGCCACCAACCTGATGTGACCTTCCTCTCCCCACAGGTGCTGTGTCTGGCAGTGGCTGTTGGCCACGTGAAGATGACAGATGATGAGCTTGTGTACAACATCCACTTAGCCGTCAACTTCCTGGTGTCGCTGCTCAAGAAAAATTGGCAGAACGTTCGGGCTTTGTACATTAAGAGCACCATGGGCAAGCCCCAGCGCCTGTACTAAGGCACAGCTTAATAAACCCTACTCCCACCATTACCACCGTCTCCTGTGGCTTTGGGAAGGGGGTACGGTGCTTTGTGAGCTGACCTGGCATGCCACAGCACTGCACTGCTGAGCCAGTGATGGGTAGTCATTTACTGCAGACAAGGCAGGGCATTCTTTCCGCCCTCAGAAACATGGAGTCTTATTAAGATCTCCTGGATACTAATAGGGCTGCTAATCAGGGCTGAAGTTTTTCAAATAACCCTGAGAAGAGCAGATCGGGGCCATTACCCCAGCCTGTACTGCTGCTGCCTGTTACTAGTGGAAAGGGGGGGTTAGAACCTTCACATGGAAGACACTGACTTGGCCTTTCCTTGGCAGCATGCTTAACCTATGGCCGGTATGCCAGCAGTTCTTAACATGGGCTTTTTGTTTGGAGGGCTTTTTGATCCCTTGAAATCATTTGGGGTCTTGGTCTGCAGGAATCCCCAAGTAGTTACAAATGGAGATTGGGGTTTGGTGAGCCTGGGATTGGCTTCCTAGATGCTTCTGATTAGAGTGGTCCACATACCCTGAGAAACTGGTCTAGTATTTGCTTTCTTGACCCACAAATTGCATACCCTTATGTTTGGGGGTAGTGATTTACTAGGTAAGATATTTAGGAAGAAAAATGAGAAGACCTGATAATACTCTGATTCAGGGACCCTGTTGTCTAGGGGAGTTTGGTAAATGGGTGGAATCTGCCTGTGGAAACTTGTAGGCCCCCTCCCTGGCCTGAGGAACTTCCTGTTGCCGTTCTTGCCTCCAGCACCCAGCAGTGGAAAGGTGGCTCTGGTGTGGTGGGAAATACTTGTGATTTAACCTTTGACTTTATTTTTTACAATATTTTATTTGGCTGCGCCGGGTCTTAGTTGCTGTACGGTGGATCTTTAGTTGTGGCGTGAACTCTTAGTTGTGGTATGAGGGATCTGGTTGCCTGACCAGGGATCCAAGCCGGGTCCCCTGCATTGGGAGTGTGCAGAGTCTTAGTCACAGGACCACCAGGGAAGTCCCTAACCTTTGACTTTAATCGGCCTCATTTAACTTTGGTAAATAAAGGAACTAGAGCTGAAAGGCTAATCAAAGCATAAATAAAAAATGCTGCACCTTCTCAAAACAAGCTTTATCTGTATTTGAACAGTGAAGAGCACAAGGTATTCACCAAAAGAGTTGTCATTTTAGCTTTCAAGTTATAACTGTAAGTAAAGTAGCTAATCTTGTGATGAGCAGAGAATTTTGGTTCTCAAGGTGGTGATAGGCCTAACTTGCTCCAAAACCACAGTTAGGAGTAATGAAATACCTAGGCTTGTTGAACAATGTTCCCAATGGGTAAGGAGGGGGAAAAAGCTGGCTGTGAAACGAGTTAGGATCCAATTTTACTGAAAGAAAAAAACTTTATGCCTAGTTAAAGTGATTGGAAGCTTATATACTAATGTTGACCACATTCAAAGCTGGGAGTTTATGTGATTTAGGGGATTTTCTGAAGTTCTATGATTTTTGTAGTCAGAGAAAGGCAACAGCTCAAATAAGGCAGGAAAACTTGTGATTTGATGACTAGAGGAATCTAATATAAAAAGTAATTGACAAGTATGGGTACTTTTTTTTTTTTTTTTTTGTGGTACACAGGCCTCTCACTGTTGTGGCCTCTCCCGTTGCGGAGCGCAGGCTGCGGACACACAGGCTCAGCTGCCATGGCTCACGGGCCCAGCCGCTCCGTGGCATGTGGGATCTTCCCAAACCGGGGCACGAACCCGTGTCTCCTGCATCGGCAGGCGGACTCTCAACCACTGCACCACCAGGGAAGCCCAAGTATGAGTATATTTTATACCCTGTCTTTTACAAAGCTGAGTACAGCAAGAGAAAATAAAAGACGTGAGAACCATTAGGTGAAGGGAAACAAGCAGGTCTCGCTTGCTAAGGTGGGCCCCAGTGCACCTTTGGTGGCCAACCCTGAGAGCCATAATGATCACAGGGCCTGTGAGATAAAAGCAAACCACTTCTAGAAGCCAGGAAGACAATTGTTTGCACCAACAGCTGTGCTATCCATGAGCAGCGTCACGGTGGAGCAAGGGTTTCAGAGGAGGTTCCCATGACACTGTGCATACAATTTCTTGGGTGGAAGAAGACCAGCCAGGTGGTTGTCTGTGGGCTGAGGCCCCCCCCAGCACCCGAGTGAATCCCAGCTCTGCCACTCAGGAGCCGTGGGAGGCTGCTGAGCCGGCCTCTTAACTTCCAGAAAACTCATCTGAAAGTGCAGCTGATGGTGGTACCTACTAAAAGCATGACGGGCTTTGCGCAGTGCCAGGCACTCAGTGTTCGGTTAAACAGCAGTTGTAAAATGGCAGTTAGGTATAGCTGCAGACACGTGTGCACCAGAGCGGGCACGCCAGTCCCCGCTTGTCTGCCTTGGTTGGCTTTAGGACAGATTGAATGGAGGCCATCCCAAGGACATCTATCTCATTAATGGTGATGAGTGGGGAGAACAAGGTGCCTTCAGAATCAGTCACACCTTCTTGTTTGAAAAGAGCCAAGGATTGAAATCCTTAAAAATAGTTTTGGAAACTATAGGAATGTTTTAGAAATACTTGGGAACTTGAGTCCTACTGGATTATTGATTTGCATCACCTGAATTTAAAAATTAAACCCACTCCACTTTATAAATCTATGCCTTATGTATTGGGGCAGGAGTACTTAAAAACTAAGTCTATATTAAACCAATATGACTCACCACCTTCTGCTGGCCTGCCCAGAAGCTGTTTAGAGCCGTGGTGCCTGCGCTCCAGAGGCCCATGGCACCATGATAGAGACGAAAGGAAAAAGCAGGAGGCAGAATGGGAAAGCAAAGCAAACCACGGAGAACACGTGTGGTGGCAGACTGATTCGCTTCTAAATGAGGGTTGAGCTATCTTAAACCCCAGCCTGTAGGATGATTTTAGGCTTTAGACTAAAGCTTAGTGTGCATCTGAGTTAGAATTCAGGGTTCAGATATCTGGGGAGCCCCAGTTCTCCAGCATTTGTACTAGAAGGAAATAAAGAGCCCCCATGAAACCCCAGGACTTCTCAGGCTTTGACTGTGGAATTGGCAAAATGATGGCCCACTTCCATCTTCCCTAGGGACATCAGAAACAAGAGGGGCAGGAAAGAGAACTACCGGCCTCTTCTTTGGGCCCATGTTTTCTTGGCCTTTTCTTACAGCTTTCCACAGAACCCTGGTCAGGGAGAGCCACTTCCAGGAGAGAGCCCTGGGCTTTGGGCTCACAAGACCCACCTTCTTATCCTGGTTCCTTCCCTATTTTGAGACCTCAGAACTATGTAGTTATCACCTGCCCCTGTGCCCTTGTGCCCCTGTATCTGTTACATTCGTATATGGGGGTGGGGGGTGGCCAGTGAGGAGGCCAGCCATATTTCACCTACAGTATTCTAATAGAAATCACCTGCAGGCTGTTTACTCCAGGAGCATGAGGGCAACCCACGTGATGATGATTCAAGCACCCAACACATACAATCACCTATTAGTAGAGACTGGATTTTGCATCCAGCCCTAGGCATAGCACATGGTGGGTCTTTTATAAACCATTTCCATCTCCAGGAACCCCTCCCACTTGGTTGGGGCTCCAGGCACACTCCCCATCCTGCAAGCAACAGTCTTGGGTCCCTCCAGTGCAGTGGACCAAGACAAAAGGCCGCCTGATTATTTAATAGTATACCAAGTGCCTGGGCTTAAAGTCAGAAGACCAGGTTCAAATCCTGGTGTTACCACTGACAGCTGAGTGAGAAGAGCATTTAACCTCTTCTGTTTCCCCATCTGCAAAATTGGAGGTTGGACCAGAATGATCTAGAAGATGAGATTCTAGAGTAGGGTTGCCAGATTCAGCAACTGAAAATACAGGATGCCCAGTTAAATTTGAATTTCTGATAAACAACCCATGTCCACTGAGGACACTGAGGTTTTCCCAGGCCGACAGGGGCAGGTTGGAGTCCAGCTTCACCCCACTGCCCCCCGGCTAGCAGCCATCCACTTCGGGAGCACTCACCTCCTTGAGGCTCTTTCCTCATGTGTGGAGTGAGGATGGGGCGGTGAGAACAAGTAGTAGCCACTGTGGACTGTGGGGATTTAACAGGGGGCCCATCTCAGTATTGAAGTCACCTGGGGCAAGTCACTTCATTTAAAGAGACAAGGCAACCTAAGGCTCACTTCAGTGCTCAACTCACGGCAGGAGGGGTGGGAAAAAGGTTGGAGTTGGCCAAACTTTCACAAGACCCCTAAATCCTATTTTCTTTTTCTTTTTTTTGGCCGTGCTCTTCAGCTTACAGGATCTTAATTCCCCGACCAGGGATCCAACCTGGGCTCTCGGCAGTGAAAGCGTGCAGTCCTAACCACTGGACCACCAGGGAATTTCCAAATCCTATCTATTTTGAGTGTGGGAGCGCTTGGGGCCCGCCAGCAGAGACGGAGTGGAGTGGGGTGACACACCAGGACCTGACCCACGAGGAGTGCCCACCCGAAGCTGTCCAAACCCAGAGGTATGGCACACAACTGGTCACACGACTAACCCACAAACAAATAACTTTAATTTTTTTTTTTTAAGCAGGAGCTGGGCCTTGAGGGCCCCTGCGCCAGCCTTGCGCCACATTTATGATATAACCCATCACAGCTGGATTTAAAAAATACACAACAAATATATAATATACATTATAAAACCTAGGTTGGGTTTGGAGGTGGCCTGAGCGATATGCAAACTGTGAGGACCTTCAGGAAGCTCAGGGGCGGCCGGGCGGGGGGAGGAAGGGGCACAGTACTTCATACGAAACTCATAAATACCCACGGGCAGCAGGAGGATGGGGCTGGGGGCCGAGGAGCCTGGGTATTGAGAAGGGGCTGCCGGGGAAGGGTTAACCTTCAATCCCAGAACGGGGTGTGGGGAGGTGCTGCTCCAGGCCAGAGAGACTGAGGTGGGGAAAACAGAAGGGACAGCTGCCCCCCGAGGGTTCACCACCAGACGCAAGTCGTAGGCAAGAGAAAATGCCAAACTTTTCCGCTACCCCTTGTCCCTGGGCCAGTGGCCTGCCCAGGGGCTGGGGCTTCATCCTCCCACCTGACCCTCCAGCCTGCTTCAGGCCTGGGCCTGCCCCTGGAAGCCTTCGCCCATCGGGAGGCTGCTGGGTGGCTCGGGACTGGACCTGGATCAGGCAGCTCTGAGTGCCGCACAGGAGCCCCCCATGCTCTGGAAGGAGGTGGTCTGTTCAGGCCCCCAATCCAGCCGGCTGGCCCCTCAGTGCAGACCCTCCCTCCTGCCCCCGTGGCCAGCCCCCACTCCAGGGAGGTAGCATAAACCTGGGCTCTAGGGACAGGCAGCGCCGGGGGAGGACTCCAACTCCGCCCACCCCTCCCACAGGTCCCTCCACTGAGATAGCGAGCCCCACGCTTGCCGTGCAGGGTCTGAGGATGGCACAAGGCACTTGGGGGCCTGCACGAGGCCTGGCACACAGCAGGCGCACAGAAAGTGTGGGCTCCTCTTTCTTCTTCTCAACTTGACCCCAACTCAACACTCCCCTTCTGAGGCCTCTGCACTCCGGTTCCCTTGGTCTCCATTCTGCCCTCACCCCCCCGTCACAGTCCCGTGAGGGGCCAGCGGCCATGGGTGCCTGGGCTCAAAGGCGTCCTCCCAGTCTTTCGAGGCTGGGCAGAGCTGGGTACGGAGGTCAGCGTAACGGCCAGGCTGCCCCTCCGCCGAGCTCTCCTCTCTTCTCCCTCAGCTAAAGCGCACAACAGCGGCAGGGAGTGTGTGTGCAGGGCAGATGGGGAGGCCTCCTGGGTCCTGGGCCTGAGGCCTGGCAGGTGGATGAGTCCTCAATCCTGGACCCCTAGGGGTGCCAGGCAGGTGTGTGGAGAAGATGCTCGTCCTGGATTGTGGTGGTGGGGGCGGAGGGCACCCTAGTCTTTGACGAGTTTGTAGACGTGGTGCTGGGCCCCGTGCTCGCTGGTGGAGACTTCAAAGACGAAAGCAATGACGAGCAAGGTCTCCTGGGAGTCCCGGCTCGTGACCACCTGGGGGCCGGGTAGGAAGATGCGGGAGGTCAGGTGGCACAGGGCCATGGGGTGTGCGGGCTGAGCAGAGGCTTCTCCTTTCTGGGGCTCGGTCTCCTCCTCTGAGGAATGGGTCTGGCCACCCCTGCTTCGAGGCCCCTGTGCCTGGGGTGCTCCCATGACCCCCCACGCCGCCCTCTCCCCCCACCGCCTCCACACCTGCAGGATGGTGAAGTTCTCCAGGACGCTGTTCATCATATACTTTTCGGGCAGGTGCTTGAGCTTGTGGATGAAGTTGATCATGTACTCGCACATGGGCGAGCGGTGGATGCGGTACACGAAGCGCCCGTTCTCCAGCCTGGCGTACTCGGTCTGCGGGAGCCGGGGTCAGGCGTCGCTCGGCTGGCCCGCCCCCAGCCCCCTCCCCCCGCCCCCCGGGCCCCCACTCACCTCCACCTTCTCCACCACCTGCTTGCCAAAGGAGCACACCTTGGTGGAGACGCTGATGGTCATGCTGTCGGCCGAGCTGTACTGGGAGCTGACCCCGTAGAAGGCGCCCGGGCCCTCCTGGATGGTGCTGTTGAGGTCGGCCTGGAGGAGGGGGCGGGGCGGCCTAAGGTGCTGTCCGAGGCCCAGGGAGGCATCCCGCCCTGGGGCTGGGGGCATACATAGCCCGCACAGTGCCCACAGGGCCGGGGAGAGGGGGTCGGTAGGGTAGGCCTGGGTGCATCGCACATCTGGGGGGACCCTTGGGAGCAGAGAGGGACCAGGGCAGCTCACCCAGAACTTGACGAGGAAGAAGGCGTTAGGGGGCCCCTTCTCATAGAGCTCCTTCAGGCCACCCTTCTTCTCTGGAAACTTGTCGTAGATCTGACGCACATCCACTGCCTCCAGGGGCGGGTCTGAGAAGGCGGGATTCGTCTGGCCGATGTGCACAAACAGGTGTTTGCTGTACTGTGGGGAGGGCCCAGTACAGGGTCAGGAGAGCTCGAGAGAGTGCAGGCCCAGGGGGAGCGGGTGGGGGGGGGGGCTGCAAGGGAACAGACCTGCCCTATGGCCTCCCAACCCCGTGACCCTGAGCTGTGGCCCTGGACCGCACAGACCCTGCCCCACCCCCTACGTTACCGTGTCAGGGTCGCGCTGCACCTCCATGAAGGCGGAATATTCGAGGAGCCGCAGCCGGGAGGAGGCGATGGTGCGGTCCTGCCACACAGGCACAGAGGCAGCAGCTGAGGGGAGCGGGGCCAGGGGCTCATAACCTGGGAGGACGAGACGGACCCTCGTCTGCACGGGCGGGTGTGTGGCTACACACAGAGCCGCTCCCCACCCCCGCACAGAGCCTGTGTGCGAGCTGGAGAATGGTGCCCCTTTTGGACGGGAACACAGGCTGGATTTTGACTCCCCTGCCAGGTGTCCTTGTGCAGTGCACAGCCTGCAGCACCGTGTGTGGTGGCCCTAGTAATGTACATCAGTGGATTTTCCCTCATGTCACCATTAATGTGTGTCCAAACAGAAAATATAGACAAGTGAAAAACGTAAAAATAAAAATTACCCAGAATCCTAACTCCTAATGAAAGTAAAACTCTGAAGATTTCGGTGTATTTCCCTTGAAGGAATTATATATACATACACATATCAATGTGACACCTTTGGTGGTGTGTACTTGTAGCAGAGTTGTGGAAGCAACATTGTAAAAGGTAAGGGGGCTATTCCTGGCCTGTCCCAATCCCCTACAGATGCCAGCCACTCCTCCCTCCCAGCCCGCGCGCATGTACACGCGCACGCGCACACACAAGTCTGGCCCCAGCTCTTCTGAGCAGAGGTGCAGCTGCTGAGGGAGGGAGAGGTGGTGGCTGCCTTGTGCAGGGAACTTACTGCTGAGCGGCGGCGGCAGGGGTGGCTGGACGGGGTAGGCTGGCTGTGCAAAGGGCTTGATGCTGCAGACAGGAGCATGGGCTGGTTAGAGGGTCACCCCTTCCCCACTTTCCGCCTGGCCCAGTCACGTGGGTCTCATCTGGGATCCCACATAGGAAGCCACCAGGCCTTCCTGTGGAGGCCCAGAAATACATGCTGACCAGCTAACTCGCGAGCTTTTTGTTTTCTTCACGTTTTAACTTTATGAAGTCTGCCTGCATCTCACAACTGATGTGCACATTTAATGCAGCATTTCAAACCCACCCTGCAGAGCTGTTCATTAAACTGAGGGCGTGTCTTAGGAAGAAAGTCATCTTAGAGTTGAAGGAGCTGAGAATACTTGACTACCTGACTTGTTGAATGAAAGACTGACTCAGAGATTAACTGAGTGAAAAATAATTGTAAGATGGATGACAAGTGGTTGATGAATGAACAAACACATGAATGAACAGACAGATGCATTAGCTCTCTTAACTGGCACTCTCCAACCCTCTATTTTTGAACGAAGACTTTCCTCAGCTGCTGCTGGAACCCAGATGGGAGGGGAAGTCCAGAGTGGCTGCCAGGGGAAAGAAGAGGGTGTGGGAAGGAAATGCCACCATACTCACTCCTGAGAGGGTCCAGGCTGCTGTCCCAGGAGAGGGGGGCTGCTCCAGAACTGCAGAGATGGGAAGAAGCCCAGGGTGCCTCAGTATCCAGGACCCCAACCCCGGCCCACCCTAAAGGCACTCCTTCACCCCAGTCCCACTTCCCAGGACCCCTGTACCCGAGAGGAAGTGGAGAAGACGGCCTGGGGCAGAGGGGAGGGTGGGCTGAACTTGTTCTGTAGGACGCTGGCTGAGACAATCTGGGCAGAGGACATGGACGCCATACTCTGGAGGGCTTTGTCCTTGGAGACCTGGTCCTGAGGAGGGGAGAAGCCTTGTGAGGCCCAGGCCAGGCCAGAGACAAGACAGGGGCTTGCCTCAGGGGCCTCCCCCCAGGCCCTGTCTCCTAAGTGTACATCACCCCTCTGATCACAATCCACAATAAGAAATTATTTTACTCCATAACCCAGTATAAGCCAAAACAGTTCTCCTTATTTTGCTTATTTTGTGTGTCACACACTCTCATATTTTCTATTTCATCAGTGATTCTCAAAGTATGGTCCACGGACCAGCAGCACCAGCATCACCTGGAAGCTTGTTAGAAATCAAATTCTCAGGCCCTAGTCCAGACCTACTGAATCTGAAACTCTGAGGGTGAGGCCGACAAATCCGACTTCATAAGCCCTCCAGGTGATTCTGATGCATGCGAAAGTTTGAGAACCACTATAATCCATTTTTTCAAAGATTTATTATTTATTTATTTTTGTTTATTTTCGGCCGCATCAGGTCTTTAGTTGTGGCACACAGGCTTCCCTCTAGTTGTGGCGCGTGGGTTTTCTCTTCTTTAGTTGTGGTGCATGGGCTCCAGAGCGTGTGCGCTCTATAGTTGTGATGTGCGGGCTCCAGAGTGCGCGGGCTCTGTAATTTGCGGCACACGGGCTCTCTAGTTGAGGCGTGCGAGCTCAGTAGTTGTTGCGCGTGGGCTTAGTTGCCCCGCAGCATGTGGGATCTTAGTTCCCTGACCATGGATCGAACCCACGTCCCCTGCACTATAAGGCAGATTCTTTACCACTGGACCGCCAGGGAAGTCCCTATAATGCATTTTTTAAAAAATGCTGTTTGCAAGCCTATTACATTGATTTCACAATCCATAATTTGAAAATCCTATATTAGGTGCTCTCCCCTCCATTGCCCCCCACCCCCCGGGGAGGGGCAGTGCTACTTACCAGGTTCATGGCCTGTGGAAGAGAAGGAGAATGGATTAGAAGAGACACAGAGGAGGGCCAGATGGGATGGAGGGACATGTCATTTCATCATCCTCCTCTCAATGCCCACCTGGCTCTCAGTTCCTGAGGAGCGCAGGGAAGCTCAGAGGTAGCTGTGGACCCTCCCCCAGCCCCACTGCCACCTAGAGGGAGTGCGTGCCAGCTGGGGGTGCCCTGGAAAGGGTAGGATGAGGGCAGAGGGGCTGGAGATCCAGATGGTGGACCAAGCTGGGGCCCCTTGGGTCTGTCCACGTGTACTGCACTATAGGCGTGGGGACTGGGGCGGGAGGCCCAGTCTGCTGGGCATTTGTGGGCAGGGAGAAGAAGATGCAGCCTACAGGGGCCTTGACCTGGGCCAGGGCCATGAACCCAAGGCTCTGAGATCCTCAGCCACAGAGCAGCCAGGATTGAGCGTCCAACAAGGAATGGCCATGCCCGCCAGTCCCCACCAGTGTCTCCTCCCTGCCCACCTGGAGTCCCCATGCAATGAGCAAGCAGCAGTTAGGAGGAAGGAGAAAAGGAAAATGGAGAAGAAGAGAGGTGGGCCTTAGTGGCCCCCAGGTGGTCTTCCTCTCCCTCGCTGTAGGGCTGGCTGTCCCCTTGGGTTCCTGCTTACTCTCCAGGGGCTCTGACCCTGTGTAGCCTGAAGTGGCAAATGGGCTTCTTCTGCTGCTTGTCTTTCTGAGACCCCCCTGCTGCCCCCCATAGCTCCTCAGCCCCTTCCCTGTCCCGGGCTGGGGTCAGAGAGCAGCATCAGGCCTGGGCAGGGCCAGGCCAAGTGGCAGGGGACCCCATACCTTCAGCTTGGACTGAATCTCCCGAGATTTCCGCCTGGCTAGAACCTGCAAGTGGCTAGAGACCTGTAGAGAGAGAGAGAGAGAGAGAGAAAGAGAAAAAGAACAGAAAGAACAGAAGAGGCAAGAACAGAGTTTCAGCCAGAAAAGAGGCACAGTGGGGCCAGAGAGCCAGCCAAGGCAGAGGCCTGAGCCGTGCAGAGAAAGTGGTAGAGGCGCCGTGAGTGAGAGGCCGAGGAAGGGCTGGAGGCCCCAGTCAGGCGCCCAACGTACCTTGATGCCAACCTGGTACTCCCGCACCTTCTTCCGAGCTAGAACCTGTATGTGGCTGGACACCTAGGGGCCGCCCCGCGCCCAGCCAGAGAGGAAAACACAGACAGTGAGGAGGCATAGCACAGGGTAGCCACGGGCAAGGAGCATCCCAGCCCTCATCTCTGGGACCAAATGTAAGAGGGGCAACCGTGGGGCCCCTGTGGGCAGACACACCTTGGCCCTGCCAATTCTGCTCTCTTTTGGCTCTGTCTTGATCAAGGGCCTACCGTGGATTTCAGGAGCACCATATACAGTTGTACAGGTTGTTCACTGCATAAGCGCACCTGGCCCAGTGAGGGCTAAAATCCAGCCCAAGCTCTGCTGGCCAAGCTATGTGCCTTGGTGCACGACTGCATCTAAAGTGGAGGAAGAGAGACCCAGGAATCCAAAATGGCATCAGTCATACCACTGAAGGAAGAGAAGCTCCTGGATGTCAAAATAGGGGAGCTGCCAAGCTGGATACTGACGCAGGATTTCACCCCTAATGGCATTGCTGGAGCATTTCAAAGAGGTTACTACCAGTATTACAATAAGTATGTCAGTGTGAAGAAAGGGAGCTTCACTGGGCTTTCTACGGTGTTGGCAGCTTACATGCTTTTCAACTACTGCTGTTCTTACAAGGAGTTCGAACACGAGTGGCCACGCAAGTACCACTGAAGAGGGCCCGGTGTGGAGGGCACACTCTGCATTCCTGACCTTTGCCCAGCAGCCCTGAATCCTTTCATATCCTAATTGAGAATTAACACCCAATAAAAGATGACTGGTAAACAACAGAGGAAGAGCATCTTTGTATTCTTCCAAAAAGGGGTGACTTTTTCTCACTGGTATCCTCAGAGGAGACACTTTTTTTTCTAATTGGCATCACAGAGGCTAGCCATGGCCATAATGCTCCTGCTGGCCACCAGATTATACATCAAGCCCAAAATCCTTTACAAAAGGTCTCCCCTGTACCACTGCCTAAATCCTCCCGAGAACCCCACCAGCTTGCCGGCCTATGAAACCTGGCCTGGTCTGACTCCTGCTTTGTTCATGCAGCTTCCTCCCCCAGTACACATTCCTTCTCCTCGGACTAATACATGGCAGTGTACACTATCTCTATGCACACAGTATGTGCTTTTAACTGCATTTCTTCTCCAGCCCCTCCTCCCTGAAGCCTCCCTCTCCTGGCAGACCTGAGCTAGTCACGGTCTGGATGTGTGCGCCCTGGGCTTGCACAACAGACCTTGGCATTGTCAAGGATCTGGCCCTCAGCCTCAGAGAACCTAAGTGTCACTGTTTTCCCCATGAAACAAGCGCGAGGGAACAGGTGGATCCGCTAAGCTGCTTCACACTTTCATTATCAGCAATTGCTGTTGGCTTTCTTTGCAAGTTGTTTTTATCTCCATAAAGAAACAGTTTCTTTTCTTTTTAATCATGGACTAAAAGTTACTATGTACGCGATGCTAGGCAGCCCCCTGCTACTTGGTTAGAACCTAGGCGGGTGCTTCTCATGCCATCTCATGGTGCCTAGGATTCAGACCTATGTCTGGCAAGATTCCCGATCACGTCACATCATGACAATAACTGACGTTTACCAAGCACAGCTACTATTGTTCCCAGCACTTTACATGTACCAACTCCTCTGACCTTTACAGCAATGCTAAGAAGTCGGTACTAATATTATTCCCAGTTTACAGATGATGAAACCAAAGCACAGAGAGGTTAAGCAACTTATCCAAGGTCACACAGATGAACCCAGGTGGCCTGACTCCACAGCCCACTTGGCCACCACCAGTATACCCTTAGCCCAGAGGACTATCTCCAACTGGTCAACTCTGTGACAGCTGAAAGTCACATGGGACTTAATCCTAATGTAATATTTAGCTGCGTTTTCAATAGGGAGGCACTGTACTTGCTATTAATTGCTGTAAAAAAAAAAATGAAAATGGCATTTTTTTTCAACAGAGAGTAAAATGAAAACAACCAAAAAACCGTGCATGTCAGCGGGTTGCTCTTTGCGACACATAAAGACATGCCTTGCTCTCACAACCATAGGAAGGAACCCCCTTTAAGGAGATATCAGACATCAGAGTTCTAATACAGAATAAAGTTAGAGGAGTGCCACCCTTGCAAAATGACAAAGGCCAGAGGTTTTTAAAATCCTGAGCTTGCCGACAGCTCATTTGTAAAATGTTAACGTACAGCCAGCCTTCTCGGGATACCTGGCCAGGAGCAGGTATGATGCCGGACCCAGAATAAAGAGGCTCTGCTACCCTCCCTGGGCCTCGCTTAAAGATCCCTGGGCCCCTTCCAACTCTGACAAACAGGTTCCTATGAACATGTCTTTTGGGTGAAGCAGGACACGCTGGGACAGTGCCCTCCTCCTGTGCGTGGGATGGCTTTCTGTTTATAACTACAGTAATAATAATAGCAACAGCAGCGGCACATTCTTATACAAATACACTCTGTTCTACATATCAACTATTGAATGGCTGAGGAACAGAGGCTGGAGATGAGGCACCCCCCCCCCCCCCGCCGCAGGTATAGGAGCAAGGTATTTGAACCCCGGGGCTGATCAGCCAGTATTCCTCCTGTGGCCCCAGGCTCCAGGGAACTGGGCCCTTGTCCGTCCAGTTCCTCGCAGGATCCCTTGTACCGAGAACATAGCAGTAGCTCAATGATTTGCTAAGTGAATAAATGCTGTACAACATGAACTGGCCCAGGGAGAGTGGTTAATAAAGGCCTGAACAACGAGGGAGCATTTCTACTCCCGCACTGGGTGTGTGGACCCAGAACCTTCCTTTGAGACAGTGAGGATCTCAGGGGTGGGTGCAAGGCTCAAACCCCAACCAAAGAGGGAGGTTTGGGGGGCTGAGGGCCAGAGCTGGCCTCGGTTCTCCAGGTCCCTGCCTAGAGCCTGCCTCTCTCCCGCCACCCAATCATCTCCCAAATCACCAGTTTCTTCCATCCCTACCACCACTACCCTCACCATTGCCGCTGCCCAGGCCACCGCTGCTGACCTAGGTCCCTGCCTTGGCCTGGTCCTCTCTATCCACTGCCTTGGGTGTTCCGGAGACAAGATGCCTTGACAGTTGCCACGCGCCACACCCTCATCTATTCCCTTCCATGGCCCCCAGTTGCCCCCAGGGAAACCTGTCCCTCTGGCCTCCAGCTCAATCTCTTACAGCCCTCGGCTTTTCCCACCCCTCCCTCCACACACCACACTGCTAACGGAAGGCTCTTTCCTGCCCAGTGGGTTGAATCCTGGATCCACCACCTACCCGCAGAGTGACCTTAGGAAGTTACTTAACTTCCCTGTGCCTCGGTTTCCTCACCTGTAAAATGGAGATAATTACTGTACCTACTTCATAAGGTTGCTATGAGGACTAAATAAATTAATACAAAGTCAGCTCTGAATGGGCTTACAATTACTATTTGTATAGCCAACTTCCTCAGCCTGGAAGAATCCTCTCCCTTTTTCCTGCCTGGCTAAATCCTCTTCCTTCTTAAAAATACATCTTGAGTGTCATCTCCTCCAGGAAGCCTTCCTAGCCCTCCCCCCTCCCTTCCCCTCCCTGGTCCGGGTTCAATGCTTGTCTGACAGTACATGCTCCGATCTCAGCCATGCTGCCCTGCTCTGCCCTCACCTGTCCAACTGCCTGTCTCCCTGACTGGTCAGCGAGCCACTCAGGGCAGTGACATGCAGCTGCCACAGTTGCCCACTGGGGCGTATCTGTGGTCGCTGGATCACAGGTCTGGGATGGGGGTCAGAAAGGACAGTGGGGACTTCCCTGGCGGTGCAGTGGTGAAGACTCCTCGCTCCCAATGCAGGTGGCATGGGTTCAAGCCCCGGTCAGGGAGCTAGGGGAGTGGGCTGGGCAAGGGGGCAGCTCTGAGGAGGCAGGCAGGGCAATGGGATAGCTTGGCCTGGGAGGGACTGACAGAGGCAGGGGAGAGAGTGTGTGCGGGCAGAGGGGCCGCAGCATAAATTATCTTTTACCTGTTTTCTTGTCCGAGTCTTTCCCGTCCTCAATTTAATATACCGTGCGATCAACTCATTTCGGCCTAGATTGGGGTGAGAGGAAAAAATGGGGAGTGGTCAAAGGGGACCCCTGGTGGCTGGAGACCCCCCACCAGCTGGAAATACACCAGGCCCCTCCCACACACGCTGCTCTTGTTTTCTCTCCCCACTCTCTTCGCTCCACCCCACCTAAGGGGCACAAGCGGGGTGGGTAAAGGATGATGGGGAAGTCCCAGAGCTCCCCCCACCGCCTCCAGGACCTGGGGGGCTGCTGTTGGGGGAGGGGCAGCAGAGCAGGAGGTGGAACAATGTCAGGCGGCTTGACAGGTTTCCCTGCGAGACAGACAGGGGCAGGTGTGGCCGAAGGGCTGCAGGACAGCTGGGCCCCTCACTCCCAGCCCCCCGCAGTGCTTCCTTCCTCTCCGTGCTGTCACCAGCTCCAAACCTCCGAGGGTAAGGGCTCGTGTGTGCGTGTGTGTGTGTGTGTGTGTGTGTATGTGTGTGTGTGTGTGTGTGAGAGAGAGAGAGAGAGAGAGAGAGAGAGAGAGAGAGAGAGAGAGAGAGAGAGAGAGAGACATATGTCTGGGCATGCATACCTGTGTGTGTCTGTAAGAACTCTGGCCTGGGTTCCTGTCCTAGCTGTCCTTGCCACCAGGAGACCCTGGACAAGTCCCTGCCCTTCTCTGGTGAAACGGGCAGGAAAGACCAGATGGTCTCCAACACGTCTCCTACGCTGACAGCCTGGGTCAAGATGTGTCACTGAGCATGTCACTGTGTCCTTGAACCTGTCACCCCCATGTCACTGGTTACCAGTGTCTGTCCCTCCCTGTGAGAGAGTGCAGCCCGTCAGACTTGGGGTGGGGGGCTCTGCTCAGCACCAGGGACCCTCTGGGGGCCCAGAGGCTGGCCGGCATCCAGGGGGCTTGGCCCTTTAAAGGGGGTGCTTGGGACGCACGGTGAAGCATGTCTCAGCATCCTCAGCGTGCAGGCTTCTTACCCCCAAATTCAGGGCCCCTGCCCCCCAACCCCATAGCCTCCCCAGAAGGACCGCATTCTCCAGATTCCTCTTCCATGACGGAACTGGCCCCACGGCTCCTCCCTTCCTGCCTGCCCCTCTCCACCCCACTCCCTCCGCCCTGTCTAAAAATACCCTGTGGGGCTGCCCCAGCCGTCTGGGAGGGAGCAGTGGGGGCAGGCGGCCCCCGCCCTATAGAAGGTGCCCTGGAACATCTGCCTGCCCCGTGAGTGGGGCTCTGGGGCTGGGGGTGGGCGTGGCACGGTGGTGGGGCAGGGGACACGGGGCAGCCCAGCCGGTGCTGGACACTGGGAGGGGACAGGCTGAGGGCCTGCCTCACCCAGCCATAGGCTGTCAGGGCGGGTTGGAGGGAGCTGGCAAGGAGTCAGGCCCCAAAGGGTTGAGTTATCCCAAAAATGCAGCCCTGGGAGAGCCCTCTCAGGGCTGGACCAGGGTGGATGCTCCCTTCTGGAGGCAGGAGGTGGGCAAGGTGGCAAAGAGAGGGGCCAGGAGAGCAGCAGACTTGGGAGGGGGTGTGAGGAGTGAGGGAGTCCCCTTGTCTCTCCAGCGCCCTTCCCCATGCAAGCCCTGTCACACTGTGGGCCTCCCACCACTCCGCAGCCCCCTCTCCACGCCTCCCGTTCTCTGGAGGGAACTCGCCAGTGGGAAACACTGTTCTTTGCTGGGATCCCATCCCAGGTCTCACCCCTCGGGCTCCCCCACGTCCTCCCAGGAGAGGGACCCTCTCCTGGGCCCAGCCTGGAACACACCGGATTGACCCAGTTTCCCGGGCCCACTGAGTCACCCCGAAACCTCCAGGCTGGCCGGGGCGAGGAGAGGAGGGGCAGTCGGGGGTGGGGTCGGGGGCGGGAGTGGTGTGGCATGTGGGCTGCGCTCAGGTGTAGGGGGCAAACCTGGCCTGTTTATGAGGAGGATCCAGACACACAGGCTTGCACGCCCAGACCCGCCCGCCCTCAGAGGGCTGGCGGCCTCCAGGACTTCGCCAAACCGGTTGGGTGAGGGGGCAGAGAGCAGAGGGAGGGGTGAGGAGGGCTGGACCGCCTCCCCAAGTCCAGTCCAGGGTCCCTGTGCCTCCCCACACGCACCGTACATCTTGCCCTCGTCCGACAGGATGATCTTGCGACGGCCACAGGGTGGGTAGATGGCCAGGGCCTCCTGGAAGCTCTGCTCGATGTCCGGGCTCCACACGCCCTCCGCATCGTTGTCCAGCCCCTTGTCCAGGCCCTCGGGCCCATCCTCCCGGGCCTCCCCGGGGCTGCTGCTGGCATTCCAGCTGTTGGACGCTATTGTGCTGGTTGCTCTGGGCTCTGGGCTCTGGGCCTGAGCCCACTGGGCAGCCTGAGCCTGGGGGGCAGACGCAGAGGGGTTAGGGCAGGGTCCTCCCAGACCGCAATCTCCACCCCTGGGGCAGGTGCTCCAGGGTTGGGTGGAGGCAACCAGAGGTTATGTTTAGTCAGTGCTGTGTGACCTTGGATGAGTTACTTCACCTCTCTGAGCCTCAGTCCTGTAAAACGGAGGAAAGGTCTCCTTTGAGGTTGTGAGGGTTAAAATGAAATGAGATCAGACAAAGTGCCAACCATGATGCCTGGTGGTGATCAACAGCAACAGTAACAATGCCTTATACCTACACAGTACTTTTGTGGGGAAAAAGTACTTTCATATTTATCCAATCCTCAAAACTAAGGCAGGGAGGGCAAGGAGTGATGCCCATTATTCAGATGAGGCAAACAGGCTCACAAGGCCATGCAGCTGCCAAAGGCACCATGATGGGCAGAGAGGAGGACCACGAGGGGCAGGGCCCAGTGCTTCTACGGCTCTCAGAGGGGCTCCTTGGCTCTCGCTCTGCCAGCTCCTCCTCCTTGTCATCAGGATCCCCAACCAGGGACCCCCACCCCTCATTCTCCCCCCCAGCATCATTGCAATCCTGCCAAGGACCCGCTGTGGCCTGAGGAGGGTCCCAGACCCAGGAAGGCTACAGTTTTGCCTTCCCCAAAAGATAACTCATGAGAACCCTGCCAAGGAACCTAAACTCAGGGCAGGAACTGCCCCAGGAATCATGAGACGGGAGCGACACTGGCTGGTAAGGGAGCAGCTGAGAAGGTGCCTGGCCGACAGCCTTGCTCAACCCCACCCACTCCTCCATCCCACTTCCTGTTCCCGCACCTCCCGGCCCCACAGCAGCCCATAAACTACCCACACGCTGGCCCCTGCCCTGGCCCACATCGTGGATGGGCCAGGGCTCTGTAAACTCTGAGTTCCCTGCACACGCCAGGCTGGGTTATTAAAGCAGATCACACCCAGACAGTCCCCCAACACACACGGCTCTAAGGCTCACCCCCCGGCTCCCTTCAGCCTCAGAACCACATGTCCAAGGTGTATCAGGGTCCTGGGAGCCCCAGAGCCCCAGATGGCTAGACCCCAGGACTTTGCTCTGGGCTGTAGGGAAAGGGGGCGCAGGGTGGAGAGTGGGAGACCCCATCAGAAGCTGGGGAAGAGACTTCTTTCCCCTCAAACAAGAATTCCAGGTCTTGTCAAGTGGGTGGGGATTTTCCCTGTGGGGGCCACCTCTTTGCTTTGGAAGGCTTGAAGGCAATTGCTAGTGGCATGGGATGGGGAGGGCCTGGGGGCCTGAATGTCAGATGGATATAGAGTTTACATTTAACTTTACTACGAATGACAGCACCTGCATACGGCAGGCCCTAGTCTGGGACTTTATACACATTGACTCATTTAATCCTCACAATCACCTATGAGGTAGATACTATTATTGCTTCTACTTTACAGATGAGGAAACCAAAGAACAGAGGGGTTAAGCAATTTGCCCAAGGACACACAGCTGGTAAGTGCTAGAGCTGGGTTCTGAACACAGGCAATCTAGCTTCAGTCTCTTAACCAAGGTAAGAAGCCCCACCATCTGCAGAGGGAAAGGAGGCCCAGCATGGGTTGTCATGGCAACCACCTGAGAATGCCCAGTGGGGTCCAGACCACAGGGTCCCCCCCAGCACAGGTGGCTGGAGCAACTTCAAGGACCCCCAGACCACTGTAACCCTTCCTGTGAGGCCTCCAAGACCACCACACCAGAGGGCAGCCAGGGAGAGAGGAAGCCATGCTCCTGACGGGTCAGAGGGGCCACACCCCTCTGCTCATCCCCGCAAGCTGTATTCTCATCCCCATCCCCTCCTCAACCCCTTGAGGGCAAGTTCTTGTAATAAGAGTCGGGGGGAGGGGTGGGATGCCGGGGGACACAGCGGCGCCTATACTAAGCTAGCTGGGAGGCAAGCCACCGCCCCACCCCAGTGCCCCAAGTCTGAGAGTGCCACAGGCGGCGTTAGAGGGGAGGCAGAAGAGGGACTACAATGAGCTAAGACCCCTCCCAACAGAGTCCTCAATCCATTTCCCCCCAAATCTTTTCCTGAGGCCTCCCTCAGAGCAGCAGGGGCCCGGCGCATGGGGGGCCCTGGCAGCCCCAGACTTTTCAAAGCAACTTTCTTGCCTCCCCCAAGTCTGTGCCCGCCTCCCCTCATCCAGCGAGTGGCCCCCCCTTCTCGGGGTGATGTCAGCCCCGCCCCGCCCCCCGCAGGAGCACTGTGGCCAAATATGGCGAACACAGCAGTGCTTGGGAGCTGGGACAGACTGGGGGGGCGGGGCGGCGGCCCCTGGCTGGGACTGCTGGCAGCTGGTGAGGGGGAGGGGAGCCCAGGGGGCGGCCACAAGGACAAGTCAAGGAGAGAAGCAGGACCACCGTCCCTTCCGCTGGCTCACAGGCACATGCTAGACTCACTTTCCAGGAACACCCCTGCGGGGAGAGGCACCCACACAGGGGTCCGCAGGTGACCCCCACCCCACACAGCAATGCACTGGAGCACGTGTGTGCAGTACGCTGCATGGGTGCGTGAGCGGACACCCCAATAAGAATATTTGTACCCCCAGACCGAGGCATACCCGTGGGCAATGGCAGGCGGGCAGCTGAGCCCCGCTGGGGGCTGAACTGGGGTCTCTGTCCTACCGCATCACTCAGAAGCAGGTCAGTGCAAGGAGTCTGCACTGGCTGCTTTGGCCTTCCCAGAGTTACTGCTGTGGGATGAGGACAGAGATGAGAGTGGGCCACCCTCCTCTCCTTAGACCCCAAACCACTGGGACTCAGGCTGGGGGCAGGGAGGAGGCTATGGGTTCCTCAGCCAGCTGCAGGGCTGGACTGAGGCCAATGTGGGACTCAGGCATGGTGGAGGGGGCTGCCTGGGGTCAGAGGGCAGGCCCCAGGGGAAGGCAGCCCCAGCCCAGCGTTGGGTCTTATCTGCCCTTTACAGAGTGGGGTTGACAGGGGTGGCAGCCCCCCAGCTGCTCGTTGACACTGTCCCAGGTGTCTAGAACCTCTGCGTTGCTGGGTTGCACCACCAGGAGGGGTGGGAGAAGGGGGAGAAAGACCCAAGTGAGAGGCAAAGAGGGTGGAGCTTGGGATAGACAGGAGGGGAAGGGGGACACGGTGTGGGCAAGTCTGGGGGTGGGTGAAGAGAGCAGGAGACAGACAAGAAAACAGACAAAAGAGACGGGACAGTCACAGAGTGAGAGACAAAATAAAGAGACCTAGAGAGGGGATCTTGGAGTGGGACCCAGAGGGAGAGACAGAGATCCAGAGAGAGACAGACATACGGACAGGTAGAGTGCTGGAGAGAGTGAGATCCACAGACATTGGGGGGAGTGGGGAGAGAGTCACTATGACCAACAGAGACAGAAAGACAGAGACCAAGATGGAGGAGATGGAGACACACAGATGAAGGGGGTAAATCACTAAACTCAGACACAGTCAGGCAGTGAGGGAGGGGAAAACCAGATGGTGGTGAGAGAGAAAAAGAGAGCGAGCGCGCGCAAGCCAAGGACAGAAAGACTCAGAGGCTGGGGCAGACCTCGGGGGAAGGAGTGACCAGGGGAGCCACTGCTGGGGGCTGGTTTCAGCCACAACAGGGCCACATGCAGGACATCCCCACTCCTGGCCCATCTGCTCCCCAGCCCTCCTCTCGGACGACCTCCCATCTCCCTGGTATTGCACAGCCCAAGGACCTCCTGTGTTCTCGCTCTAACCTTACCCTCAATCTGACCAGCACACACCCGCCTCCCTCTCCCAGGGCCTTCGGAGGTCAGAAGGTGCCTCTGGGTGGCGGCCGGGTAGGAGATAGGAGGCTGGGTGAACAGGCCTCAGGGCCCTGAGGGAGATAAGGGGCACCTTGCTGCCCACTCCCCACCCTGGGGCCAGACCTGCTGGAATAACTGGCTGGACAGCTCCAGGGGTGGAGGCCAGCGCAGGGGCTGCTGCAGAGGCCCTAGGTCCTCACCCCCCAGGGCCCCAGCAGCCTCCAGACCACCCAGCCCTCTACCGCCTTTCAAGTAGGAGGAGGGATGGGCTTGAAACCTGGGCTCCCCCAGAGCTTCTGCCAGGTGGGGGATGCAGAAAAGGCAAGTCCAGGCAGGTGTGTGCACCTGGCACCCCTCCCCCGGCACCAGCCCCGCGGGGAGGTCGGACTGAGCCCAGTGACGGTGCTGCGTCTAGCGGGCAGCAGCTGTCCACTCTTGCAGGGCTTCAGCCCTCAGCGTGCTCTCACTTTGAGTGAGAAGTGGGAAGACTAGTGAAACCAGCAGTTTCATCCTGAATGCCCTGCCCCCAAACCTGGGCTGGGCTGGCCAGCCAGGGGGGAGAGGATGGGGCAGGCGGTAGATGAGGGCTAAGGGAGCCTCCCCGCCTCCTCTGCTTTTCCCTCCTTCCTCCCCACCCACCCCCACAGCGGGCCAGCTGTTCTCCAGCTGCCAGAGGCTCCCACCCTAGAACTGGCCGTGCTCTGGTTGGGATGGGAGAGCAGGGCAGGCGGGATGGGGATGGTGTCTGCCTCCCCCACCTGCAGGCCAAGGACCCCTGGGGGACCCTGCCAAGTGACCACACCCTGCCAGGCTGGAGATGGAGTACCCTCCCCCCTGGAGCAGGGTCGAGATTTTTACAGGAGGAAGCAATTTGCAGAACCCACTAGGAGGGAGGTGAAGGGGGGCTCCCCAGCCCTCCCCAGCTTACTAATGTGCTTCCAATTTGGGAATCCAGTCTCTGCACCCACCCACCCCCTCTCCTAGGGCGCGGGCTCCTCGGGGAGCAGATGGGGCAGGGTAGCCCCCCAGGCTTCCCTCTCCAAGGCTCATCCTCACTGTCACCCCTGCTTCCAGCAGTGTAGGAGGGAGGGAGGGAGGGAAGAGACTCAGAGCCCTCAAACCTCCTGCAGGAAGAAGGGGCCCACTTCCCACACCTCCCTTCACCCCCACTCTGAGACTGTCCTGTCTCATCTCATCCCACTCCAGGAAGGCCAGGGATCCAAGCTGGAGGGGGCGGGGATGCAGCCAAGGGGTGAAACTGGGTTTCACAGTTCTCAGTGAACATGTCAGAGGGCCCCTTGGACTCTGGATCACCCACTGAGCTGCCACTAGTCCCTCAGTCAGTTGCCCCCTCAGGAAGGTCACAATGTCAATGTCGTCTATAAACACACAGGCTTTCCCTGGGCGTCTCCTCTCTATCAAATGCACACACTGCTCTTCACAGCCACTGTCCTGCACATTCACTGTTACCTGCATCTCCCTTATTCCTTTTTCTTAACTTCTTTTATTGTGATAAAACATACGTAATAAAAAATGTACCATTTTAATCGTTTTTAAGTGCACACTTCAGCGGCATTAAGTACATTCTTTCTTTCTTTCTTTTTTTCTTGTATTTTTTTTGGCCATGCTGACGGCACGTGGGATCTTAGTTCCCCGACCAGGGATCGAACCCGTGCCCCCTGCACTGAAAGTGTGGAATCTTAACTGCTGGACCACCAGGGAAGTCCCATTCTTTCTTTGTTTTCAACAGTTTTCTTTCTGTGGTCCTCCACGTAGACACCACATGCATTGGGGTCACAGTCCCCCAAATTCATCATACATGGCATCCCACGCCATATATGCCACAGTCCTGAAGGATGTCACCCCCACTGCCCTACAGTCGCAAACCATCTCAGATGTGACCACCCACAGAGCCGGTCTCAGTCACACCCCACAAACAGCACCGTCCCTCCATGCGCGGAGTTTCTTTCTCGTGCTCAGTCTCACCCACACGCCTGATTTCACACTCAGCTGTTGTCACAGCTTCTCAGCACACGCCTGCTGCACTGGGTATAGTCCGCCGTGTCACAACGGTTTCCCCCTTACACACACATGTACACCATGTTGTGACAACTTTTCTCATACGTGGTGTCATACATAGTCATACACAGACCATCAGAGTTTCTACAAACCCAAGGTCATCTCATTTGCTGTTCACACTGCGCCATACATAGGCGTGCAACAGCAACATACGTCACACAGAGTGTCACTCATCCTGCTTCTGACACACACAGCGCCACACAATCGCAGTGTCCCTCACACACCTGGGGCATCGGAATCCCATCCAGACACGAGTGTGAGCTCACACCGCTAGTCAAGCAGACGGTGTCTTTCATAAATGTACCCCACGTGATGGCCCCTCACACACACAGGTCCCCCATACAGCCACACACACACACACACACACGCAGCGTCAGCCACACACTAAGAACATCATTCATAGTTTCCCTCACGTACCTGCAGTGTCAGGCACACAGAATACCATAGCTTCTCTCACACGTGAATGTTACAAAGTCACAATGTTGCATACAGTTGCTCTCACACGCAGTCACACACACAAACTGGCTTTACCCAGTTCCCCCCACCTGCATCCACCCGCCCAGCATCACCCACACAGAGTGTCCCACTCGGCTTCTCTCTCACACACATCCAGCGGCACACACAGTGGCACTCTCGTTTCCCTCTATCACTTCCTGTCCTGTCGGGCCTGGCAGGGAGTACAGGAAGCAATCAGCACTCTAGGAAACCTCAGGGGCCGAGGCTTTGGGATTTGTAGAGCGACAGAATTCTCTGGCTCCTGCCCCCAGTCCCCTGTGGGACCCTGAGCGGACCCGCAGAGCCCTCTCCCCTCCAGAGTCCTCCCTGGAGGGGCAGGGCCTCTCCTGCAGACCACCCTAGGCTGGCACACCAGTGGGGAGGGGAGGGCAGGGCGAGGCCATGGGGGACAGGGCCGAGTGTGATCTGCTGGCCTCCACCCCAGCTCTGAGCAGAGAAGCTCCTGCCGTGGCCCCAGGGCGGCCCCAGAGGGCCATGGAGACCTGGACCTTCAAGGCCACCCCTCAGACCCCACAGCTCCTGCAGTGCCCACGTGGGAAGCAGAGACTGCGACCTCCTGGCCACCTCCACAGAAAGCTGCAGCACTGGGAGCCCTCTTGGCTCCCTGGAGCCTGGCACCACCAGCTCCCTCCCCCACTGTCCTCCCTGTCAGCCGGCCCCTAGGCACCTCTCCCTTCCTGAGCGAGGAGGTGGACAGGGCTGGAAGCTTTCACTCCCTTCCAACTTCCACCCTGAGCCCCTAGAGGCGTCTGGGAGAGGGGTCGGCCGTCCAGGCGGCCTCTGAACACCATTTACTCTGCCCAGCCTTGCCAGACCCCACTGCCACCTCCCAGGGCAGTTCCCTGGACTCCACCGGCCTCCCTCTCCCCTGACACCTGCTGCCTGTAACCTTTTCAGCCACTCTCACCTGGCTTAGCTGCCCTCAGTCACCCTCTGGTTAGCCCTCACCTTCTTCTTAGACCACTGGGTCACCCACTCACCTCTCCAGGCCCCACCAGGTTCAGGTTCCATGATGGGAAGAGAGGGAAGGCTGATTGATTAGGAGACAGAGACTCCGAGAGAAGCTCAGAGAAAAGGGACCTGAGAAGTCATGGATTCCAAACAGGGAAACTAAGGCCCACCAGGATGACACAACTGGTTAAAGGCCCAGCTGGGGCCAGATCTCTTAATTTCTTGACCTCCTCTGTTTGAGAGGTCTCCTTCTTGTTTTAGTATTTACCCAACTGTCAGAATGTACCAAGGTGAGGGTGGGAGCAGGGCCCAACACACACACACACACACACACATAGGGTGGGAGCAGGGCTCAGGACACACACACACACACACACACACAGGGTGGGAGCAGGGCCCAACACACACACACACACACACACACACACCCCTCTGTGGGAGCAGGGCTCAGGACACACACACACACACACACACACACACACACACACACACACACACACCCCTCTGTCCTGCCAATCACTGACCATCCTACACAGCCATTCCCTTGCTCAAATGCGCTAATTAGCATTAATTATTGCTCCTCCCTGGGGGGATGGTGGTGGGGGAAGGCCCACAAGGTTGAGACTCCCATTGGATCCCAGCCTCTCTCTGAGGAGGGGGCATCCAGGGCCACTGAAGTCACTGTCACCATATAGCCTAGTCCTAGAAAATACATCTGTTTATCTCCTAGGGATCTAGAAAGACCACAGAACCACGTCCTGTGGTGGAACTGCTGGGGGGAGGTCTTGGAAAAGGAGCTACAAGAATCTGGAAGGGAGGAATACCTAATTCCCCCAAATCTCTAACTTTTGGCAACTTTAGATTTCCCTCCTTACCCCAGGCTGCCCCCAGCATTCTGGCCAAGGAGGCGCCCTGGCCCCCTGCACTGGGGTGGAACATGTGGACACAGAATCAGCTGCAGGAGGCCGGATATACAGAGGCGCCGTGGGCTCGCACCAGCCCCTCTGAGCTGTGTCCAGCCCCCATCCCCACCCCCTGCTCTCCTGGGCTACAAGTCCAGGCCTGACCTGCTTCTGCCTCTACCTGGAGCGAGTAAAGACACAGAAGGAGGTGCCCCCTGAGAAGCCCTACACCAACGCCTCATTCCCCCTTGTTCAGAAAGAATCTCTCAGCCCTGGATCAGGGCCCCTCTCCTGGAAAGGTGACACAGTGGGGTCTCCGTGACACTGCCGTGCGGCCTGGCTAAGCTGGAAACCAGACGCAGACAGGCACTCCCGGCCTTCCTTCCCCAGGCAGGAGTAAAGGGCACGACAGACAATGGTGGGGGTGGTGTTGGGGGGTTAGGGTTAGAGGAGACAAGCGGCCTTCAAACCCTCTAAAGTCTAAACAAGGGCTCTGAGGAAGCGTGGCGAAGAGAAGGCCCCAAATCCAGCCCCCTTTAGAGCCAGGCTCACAGGGCTCAGGGCTGGAACTCCAAAAACTCCACCCCGACGCAGGGGCAGACTGGAGGGAACTTAAGCTCCTGCCCCTCAGGGGGCACCACGCCCGGGGCGCGCAGCTTTGCTGCCGGACACCCTCCACGATCCGGCACGGCTGTGGGCACCGCGCGCAGGAGCCGGCCTGGGCGCCGGGAGGCCGGGCCCAAGGCCTGCGTGGAGCTGGGGCCCAGCGGGCTCCGAGAGAGCGCCAGCTGGGAGTCCAAAGGGCGGCGGGGCCCGGGACTGGGAGCTCCCCGGTGGCAGGCCCCCCAGACCGTGCGGGCCCCCAGACCCCGACCTCGACACCCCAAAGGCGGACGTTGGGCCAGGCGATGGCACCGTAGCCAAGCTCCCGGCGCCCCGACCTCCCCCGAACAACTCGTCCGGGTCGCGGGGGGGGGGGGGGTGGGGGGGGGGGGGGGGGGGGTGGGCGGGGCTTCCCGGAGGGCTTCCCCCCCTTTCCTCTAAACTTCCCGGCACCCAGATCCGGGGCTCCGGCTCAGGCTGGACAATAGCTCTGGGAACCAGCCCCCCTCGAGTGCCCCCCCAACCCAGAACCAACCAACCAAACCACCTCTCCCAGCAGGGCCTCCTCCCGGCGTCCGCCCGGCTTACCTGGTCCGATCTCGCGGGGGCGCTCCGGCCGGGCGGCTCCGCCGGGCCCGAGGGAGCGAAGAGGGGGGCCGGGGAAGGGGGGTCTTGGGGAGGGGGCTGACCGGAATGTGCGGAATGAGCCGGGCTGGAGCGGGAGGCGCCGGGCGCGGAGGAGGGAGCGAGCGGGACGGAAAGTTTGTGTTGAGGAGCCGGGACTGGGGGTGGGGGCTGCGGGGAAGGAGGGGGCGGGGCGCGCAGGGGGGCGGGCACCGGCCTGGAGGGGCGGGGCCGCGCAGGGCCGCCCCCGACCGCGCTTGGGCTGCCCACCCTGACGCTTCGGGACCCCAGGCGACCCCCGGCCTCTCCGCGCCTGGGCGCCCCGTTCCTCGCCTGCCGGAGCGGCGCTCTCTACCTCCCTTGCCCTACCCTACCTCCCCAGTCCCCCGCCGGAATTTGGGGCTCCGGCCTGGGCGGGGCCGAGGGCGGAGCTCCCACCTCGGGGGCAGGACTCCCGTCGGTGCAGGGGCCCGGGTGCCGCGTCACTAGGAGCCCGGCGGAGCCGGGGCGCACGGTCTTCGGGTCTCCCTACCCCCTACCCGAGTCCCGAACGGCTGAGGCGGAGCGCCTTCTCCCGACTGAGGGCCCGCCCCCTTACTCCTCGGGCCCCAGACCCGGCCCCGCCCTGGAGGCTGCGCCCGCCCTGCCCGAACCCGGTTTGTCTGGTTCTCCCCGAGAGGCTTGTTTCTCGAATTTCTCCCTTTCCCCCTCTTCCCGGACCTCCGGGGCCCTCCCTCTCGGCCCGGCTCCCCGGGGCCCCCGCGGGGGGCGTCTCGACATCGCGAGCCAGCCGAGTTTCGGTAGGACCCACGATGGGCGCGTGGGAGGGGACGCGGGAGCGCCCGGGGCCTGAGCGGGGTGGGGGGTGGGGAAGGGAGGCCTCCAGCCCGCCCTCCGGACCTCTCCCGCGCTCCGGACCCCTCCCGCCGCCTTTTTCTCCGCACGCGCTGAAGAACCACTGCTCCTCTTGGCCTAGGACGCAGCTTTATTGGGGATGTGGGTACCCGGTTTTCGTTCCCCATCACCAGCCCCTCCTCGGAGCCCGCCCCCCTCCTTGGAGCCCTAGTACGGTCCCAGAGGGGGTTAAAACAACACTGACTACTGCTCCTGGACAGGAAGTGACTGGGGCGCCGGGCGGGGGTGGTGGTGAAGCGGCGCAGGCTAGCTCCGCGACCAGATGTGCGGCTCCAACTCCAGATGTTCTTCATCTCCGTCCGACCCGCCGTGTGAGATCCTCCCCTGCCTCGCCTGTGCCAGGCTGGGCAGTGGATGGAGGTCACCCGGAGACAGCGGGGTCAGCCCCCGACAAGGGAGGAGTCTTCAGTGGGGACTCTGGTGAAGGGACCGTTCAAGCCTCCAAACTGAATCCTTTCCCCAACCCTGGCGGGCGCTGAGGACTACTAGGGTCACTCGCAGGCCAGCTTCCCGTCGAAGCTGGAGAGGGCAATGGCGAAGGCCTGCAGGGCGCACAGCGGGTACCGGTAGTCTAGGGTGAAGGCGTCCTCGGCCACGCGGCCGAACTGCAGCACGACGTAGTCGGCTATGGACACAGACGGGGTGGGGGCGGCCCGAGACCTCTTGGGTTCTCCCTCCTGGCAGACAGTGCCCTCAACATTGAGGGAAGTCCCCCCACTCTTGCATTGGGGCCCCAGTCCTTAGCCACGTCTCAGTTATTCACCCCACCGTCCATCCACCCTCTTATCTCGCCCAGCAAGCCCCACTTGCCTACAGCTTTACCAGCCACGGTAAGCCCCTGAGGGCGGCGACCCTGCCTTACCTTCTGCTGCCCAGGGCTATGCATATGACCAGCCCGCACTTAGAGAAACCGGTCAAACTTCCTTAAGCCTAGAATCCTTCCTTTCCAACGCCTCTGTGGTCTTTGCCCCATTCCTTCTTCTTCCCACCCCCAGACCCCAAGTCCTGTCTTAGACCACCAGCCTCATGGTTCCCTTCCTTATCCAGTGGCCCCCTCAGCCCCCATCCCATATCTAGCCCAGGTTTCCAGCCTCAATTCCAACACCTCCCCCAGCATCCATAGGGACAGGATGTTGCTAAAAATACCCCCAACCTCGGCCGACCAGGCTCCACCAGAAATGTGATCTGGAGAGCGGTTTTTCAAGGCCTCAGGACAGGTGACACAGGGGGCACATCCCTAGGATGGAGTGGGGGTAGGGAACTCACTCAATGTTAACCAATTCTGGGAACCTGGAAAGTCCTTGGGAGATAACGTTCCATATCCAAACCTCTTCACCCTAGTGGGGACCTCTCCCCAAGGCTTGTAACAGGGGACATTTTTACTTAATTGTGTTCAGGGTACATTTTGTTTCCCTAACTCTTCGAGGGCAGGCCTTTGATCTCACTGGAGAGAGAACGATAGAAATGCTTGATTTATATTTCCTACTCCTAAAAGGCAACCATCCTCATGGGGTTGGGCACTGGAGCCAGACTACCTGGGTTCTAATCCCACCTCTGCCTCTCACAAGCTGTATGTGTGAGTTACTTAACTTCGCTGTGCCTCGGTTTTCTCCTCTGCCAAACAGGGACAATAATAATACCTTCCTCACAGGGCTGCTGAAAAGATTTAATTTTTTTTTTTCGGTGGTGCAGCTTGCGGAGATCTTAGTTCCCCGACCAGGGATTGAACCCATGCCCTTGGCAGTGAAAGCACAGAATCCTAACCACTGGACCACCAGGGAATTCCTGAAAAGATTTAATGATTCAGTATCTGTGAAGTCCTGAAAACAGTGCCTGGTCCATAGAAAGCCTCATGTGTTAAGTAAACATAAACACTGTTTAAGTGTTTATGAAATAAATTTTGAGGGCCAGGGTAACCGCCTGGAGTTGCTGAGAGACTTTGGATAATGTGCTGCCCTCTCTGAGCCTCAGCATCCTTCTTGGCCACATGGGGGTTGGTCTATCAGTCTTTTTTATTTTTAAATTTGTATTTATTATTATTATTATTTGGACGCGTCACGTGGCTTGCACTATCAGCTTGCGGGGTCTTAATTCCCTGACTAGGGATTGAACCCAGGGCCCCGGCAGTGGAAGTGCTGAGTCCCAACCACTGGACCGCCAGGGAACTCCCTATCAGTGTTTTTTAAGCTCCAGCAGCGTAACTGTCCCTTCAACACAGCCTTACCCAGAATACCCCAATATCTACCCCAAGCTCTAGTCAGTGCTAGAAAGACGGCCTGGAACAGTGAGCCCCAAGACACCTGCTTGGAATATATGAGGCTCCTGGGAGCACAATGTCAGTGCCCCCGCAGGAGAGAGTGACCTTCCTGAATGTTCTGGCTTCAGAGATAAAGGACAGCTCCACTCCTCTGTGTGTGTGTGTGTGTGTGTGTGTGTGTTATATAGAGAGAGGGAGAGGGAGAGAGAGATGGGGGGTGGGGGAAAGACTTGAGTAAGGGTTGAGGTCTTGGGGGTGGTGGGGAACAGCCTGGCTTGGGTCCTCAGATACTCACGGTCATCGGCGTGGACAATCTGGAAGTTCTTGACCGAAGCCTGGGTGACTCGGCCTTGGAAGTTGAGGGTGTAGGAGCCACTGTCATCATTCCAGACGGGGGGCTTGTTGTGTAGCTCGATGAGGCTCTCCAGTGTCTTGTTCTGCCAGCGCACCAGCAGCCCGTCGCTGGCCTGGGGTGCCACGGGTGGGGCAGTATTAGGGAGAGGACAGTTAGGGGTGGCTGAGATATCTCAGGACTGGTGGTGGAGGGGTGGCTGGGGACGCGTGCATGCCCTTGTGTGTGTGCAGCCTGGGTGTCAACGTCCATGCAGGGTATCCTTGAGCGCATGTGCGGTCTCTGTGGCGTCCGTACGGGCAGGGTATGTATCTGTGAGAATGGGCTTTGCTGTGGAATGACAAAGTGGAGGGTTGGAAAGTGGAAAGTAGCATCTGGCACACAGGAGGTGCTCGATGCCATTGGTGCCCAAGGGGGTCTTAGGAACGGCCGTATATGCTGGCACCGATTACAAGGATGAACCAGCTATTCTAGGACCTACAAGAAGCTCACGGTTGAGCTTGGAGAGATGTATAGGTAAGGAGTAGTTAAATAAAATGTCCTGGAAGAGCTTCTGGAAGGAAGGAGCAGTATGTGTGCGATGGTGCTCTTGAGGTATCTCCTTCCTTAGCTTCTTTGTCACCTGTTCATGTTCATGACTTAGGATGAGCCCACTCAAGACCGTGTCCTCCAAGAAGCCTTCCTGACCCCATGTCTGGTTCAGATGTCAGCTCTGAGCCTCCATAACGCCTTGCTCTGAGCCATTTCTCCCACTGCACTGTTACGGACAGGATTAGATACCCTAACAGCATGTACAGTATTTGACTAGTGGCTCTGGGCCTCAGTTTCCCTCACAGCGGGCTTCTGTGAAGATTAAATGATTAATAGTGCATGAAGTGTTATTTAGATCAGTTCCTGGCACAGAGCAAATGCTCAATAAATATCAGATATTGTTTGGATGGTAACTCTTGGGTTGATTTTGGATCTTCAGTGCCTGGCTTTAATAAATGATTGTGGAATGAATGAACTGTAAGATGATGAAGAGATACACAAAGCAGCACTGGGTAGTTCTTACCAAGCCCAAACACACGTGGGAGGCACTGCCTCTGGAGGATTTATATGTTTATTCCAGGACGGAAGGAGCAACTGTGGAACCCACAAGCTCTTGAAGACCGGAGCCTCCGAGGGCTCGTGCCCCGTGGGTTGGCCAGGCCTCTCATTACAGTGTCTTTCCAGCAGGGAGGGATGTGTGATCAGCTGATGGGAGTATTCTTTTTCATTGCAAATGAGTAAAGTGACATCACTGTGAGTGTCCATGCCAGTCATCGGTCTCTGAAATCCTGGGCTCACCCAACTTGCAGTGCTAAGGAGCAGAGCGTGGGACTGACACTGAAGGAGGCCACCTCTCTCCAGGCCATCTCTCCATCTTACCCTACCCCTCACACACACGCACACACAAAACAAACAGCCTTTGCTTTTTAAAATATGTCAATCATATCACTCCTTTCCTCAAAACCC